TGTTGTCGATTCGTCGATGCGGAAGGGGTGGACAGCGGGGTCGAGCTTTCGTCCTGCTGCGAGGCTGAGCGGTCCTTTTTGGACTTTTTCTTCTTCTTGGATTTCTTGGGCTTGGGCTCTTGCCCGTCTGGAGCTTTCCCGTTCACCGCGGCGGAAGCCTGGCCGGCACCGTCCTCGCCCTCGTGGCCTTGATGGTTGGCCTGGTCGTGGTGTTCAGCATCCTCCACATCCGAATCGGCATGCTCACCGCTGCTGCGGCGAGCCTGTCCATCCTGATCTGTCGTCGGGCCCGTCGACACGTCCCCATTCGGCTGCTGTTGCTGTTGCTGCTGTTGCTGTTGTTGTTGCTGCTGCTGCTGCTCGGCGGCGAGGCGGGCAGCCTGCTTCTGCCGCCGCTTCTGCTTTTTCCGGTTCACAGACGGCGCCATGGTGTCGGGGTTGGTGGTAGAACTGCTCTCAGTCGCGGGATGCGAGTCAGAGGGGGCAGTGGCGGGAGACAAAGGACGAGAGGGTTTGGTGGTGGACGCGGGCGACGCAGACGTGTTTGGGGTCACACTCGGGTTCAGCGAACTGCTCGGTGGCGCGGCTGGTCGATGGAGAGCAGCAGGCATGCCGCTGTCTGGTGCAGAACAACGGAGCCTGTCAGAACGGCGGTGCGACAAGGACCATCAGACCGCCGCAGAAACCCTCGCTACCAGCGGAGCACCAGGACCAAACCAGCAGGACCGGGCAGAGGCAGCTCCTGGGAGAGGATCGAAGGCCGCACAGCGTCGGAGCGGCCAGCGAGCGCGAGGAATGGAGGAAGGAGGGGAAGTCGAGCGGCCGGCGGACAGCAGGAATAGGATCGGAGGGAGGACAGGCGGGGGGGGGCGGAGGCAGAGGTGGACGCGGAGGCGGACAGGACAGCGTGGGAGCGTATGAGCAAGGCCTGGATGGAGCGCAGCAGGCCGGGGAAGCAGGAGCTGTCTAGGCCTGGAGGGTTGAGGGTTTGGAGGACTAGATCGGGAGTTAGATAGGTAGAGACGGAGATGGGATCAAACGGTGGTTTGGACGGTGGATCTGGACGCGGGCGGGCTGCCCTCGCTGGCTGGCCCAAAAGCCGCTGGACGGCGGTTAGACGCCGCAAGCGAGGCAGGTGCAACAGCAGCAAAAACGCCGAGAAATCGTTATTATTCAGATGATTATTATTAAGGATGCTTAGATTATTCCTGTGCCAGCAGGAGAGTGGCTGTTCCAGCGCCTTCGCTGCGGGCTGAGGTGGCAGCGCAGCTGTCTGCCAGGTACATTCTGCTGCTCTTTTATTCTATCCTCTCTGCTCTGCCTGCTGCTTCTGCTGTTGTCGTAAATATTAATCCATTATTCCGTGAATTATTTATTGCTTGCTTGCTCTCTCCGCAGCCCCGTCAGGCCTTCTCCCGCTCTGAGACAAGAACGCTCAGCCACGCACCCCGGCCTGTCTAGAGTTAAGCCTGACGACCCCTGCTGGCCTAATCCCGTAAACAGACCAGATCAAAGGCGTGTTATATTAGAAGAAAAAAAGCCCACCCTGGATTCCACAGTTTGCACTCCTCTGCTCTCTTCTCTTCCTCCTCCTCGTCTGTTCCTGCCCGCCGCAACCCAATTCCCCGGCTACGAGGTAGCGTGTTGGCCGGCTCGCTGCATCGTACGTAATTGCGTCGTGGACAGCCCGACTGACTGCTCCCGCCCGCCCACGACTCTGCCCGACTGCGTCTGGGAGCTCCTCGCGTGTCTGTCTCTGTGCGTGTGCCATTGCCGCCGGACCGTGACTCGTCCTTCGTCCTTCGTCGCCCACCATGGCTCAGCAACCGACGGATAATGTGATGCGGAGGTACGTGTGACCGTCTCGAGGGGAAAGGGGAGAGAGAGAGTCCCTGGCTGGTCCTGTCTGCACCCCGCAGGCCTGGCCGGGATCTCCATCGCTTTCCTTGATAGGTCTTAGGACGGGTGGATCGGACAGCAGGAGGAGGGAAATGTCTCGCGGGGACGTGTCACTAACGCTCTCAACGCGCCCTGTAGGAAGCTGGTCATTATCGGAGACGGTGCCTGTGGGAAAACGAGTCTGCTGAGCGTCTTCACGCTGGGGTACTTTCCAACAGTAAGTGTGATGCCGCCATCGTCGTGGACGCGTTGTCTAACGGTTGTGACAGCATTATGTGAGTATCGACAGAAAACCCCAGATCGCGATAGCTGGTCGATATCGGAGGGTGTGGTGATCGATTCTGACATGGCCTCGTCTCGCTAGGTGCCGACGGTGTTTGAGAACTACGTGACCGACTGCAGGGTGGATGGTCGTTCGGTGCAGCTGGCACTATGGGATACTGCTGGTCAGGAAGATTACGAGCGACTGCGGCCTCTGGCGTACTCGAAAGCGCACGTGCTGCTGATTGGGTTTGCCGTCGACACGCCGGATTCTCTGGAGAACGTCCGACATAAGGTCAGTCCTGCCATACCGCTTGCAGTATGCGATAATCTGGTCTGACGACAGGCAGTGGATCGAGGAGGCGAACGAGCGGTGTCCCGGCGTGCCCATCATTCTGGTCGGGTTGAAGAAGGACCTCCGCGAAGACCCCGTCGCGATCGAGGAGATGCGCAAGAAGTCGCTGCGGTTCGTGACGCCCAAAGAAGGCAGCGACACGGCGGCCCAGATCGGAGCGCGCAAGTATCTCGAGTGCTCGTCGCTGACGGGCGAGGGCGTGGACGACGTGTTCGAAGCCGCCACGCGGGCTGCACTGTTGACGTTTGACAAGCAGCGGAACTCGTGCTGCGTGATACTATGACGGATGCCAGCGATGTTTACGACCTTTTCAATTCGCTTTTATTTACATATGACAGGCTAGAAGCCGTCGTTCCAACGATAGAATCTGTCATGCTCGATTACTCTCGTCTTCTCGTACTCGAAATCCGCTTCCCGAGAACAAAAGAAATTAAAACGAAACCGGGGATGATCGATCGATTGACCAACCGACCAACCAACCAACCAACCAATCTCGCATCAGTGGCGTTTATGCGGCGTTCATATTCGTTTTCGTTATTCGATATCGATATCGATATTCGTACCGTACATGAGTCCATTCCATACGTCTCCTCCAACTAATACGTGTGTCTGCGTGTGTGTGTTTGTCTGGGGCTTTCGTCTCGATATCCTTTTCGTCTGTGTTTTCTGTCTGTCAACAGGGTTGCGATTATTGATTGATTGATTGGAAGGAAAGAAAGGAATAAGGAATAAAGAAAGAAATCAAAACAAAAAGAAACAAAAGTCGGTCTGTCTGGTTCTCCGTCTGTGTTGTGTATTGTCCATCATCCATTCCTTTTCCTTTCGGGTCGATAGTTGTCTTTTTTTTTCCCTTGATTGATTGATTGTTGTATGCATGCATGCATGATCCTTCTCTGATGCTGTTTCGACTCGTCTCGTTTCGTCTGTTCTACTCTGCCGTGCTGTTTTTGCTACGCTGCGCACACCTACCTACCTAGTTTCCGTCTGAAACGACTGTCTTAAAGAAAGCGAGAGAGAAAGAAAGAAAGCTCTGCTTGAAAGCTCTTGTCTGATTGATGATCACTGACTGTCATTCCTTTCTTTTCCTTTCCTCTCTGTCTCTCCCTCTCTCTCTCTCTCTGTGTGTATGTCTCTCATTACACTCCTTTCCTTCATTATTCATCTGATTGATTGATGAGCTTTCTTTCTTTCTTTCTTCTTTCTCTCTTGCTTGCTTGCTTTTTTATTGATTCCCTATCCTATCCTACCCTATCAGGACCTCTACTTACTTACTTACTCTACCCGCTCCTTTTACGAATTAACTACTGTCTTTCTGTCTATCTCTATCTCTTTCTCTGTGTCTATGTCTATTCTTGAACAGAGCAGTAATTGAGTGAATTGAATGCTATCCTAGTCCCAGTCTCGTCAAGTCAAGTCAGTGTAGTCAGTAAACTTTACTGTACTGTACTATACTATATTCTCGATCGATTTTTGTCTGCATTATATTGTATTGTATTGTATTGCATTGCATTGCATTGTATTGTATTGTACATATATATACATACAAGAGCGAAAGAGAGGAAAGAATAGAACAGAAGAGCTCATACATGACTCCGAAAGAAAATGGACTTCCCATAGGCATAGACGTAGGCGTAGGTACTTACGTACCCAAGCAAACCATCTAGTCTTAATCTTCCCTATAGCAGGAAATAATCGAAAGATAAAATCCCATCCAACCCATCCTATTCTATTCCATTTTTAAAAATGTTTGTTACACCCTCTTCCAATCATGATTCCACCCCTCCCTCGGCGGCGTATCCGTCTGCAACCGCCCGTACTCAATGGGAAACAACTCCGTAAACACACCATGCTTGTTCATCGCAATCCGGAACAGCTTGGCGCCGCGCTCGCCGCACCCCGTGCGCAGCTCCTCGCACGCCGCTGCCATGGCCTGCTGCTGTCGCTGCAGCTCCAGCTCGCGCGCCCGCCGCTGCTTGGCCTGGTACAGCTGCCAGGCGCGGTGGATTGTCCAGTGGCGAAGGTACCGCCCTCGGGAGAATTTGAGGGGGCGCGGGGTGAGGGGGTGGAAGAGGAAGTATCGGATTAGCGCTGGCAACAAGAAGAATTGTAAGTTAGTTGGTTGGTTGGTCTTGGTGGGAAAAGGGGGAAAGGGAAAGGTGCAGAGCCATACTGATTCTCTTGTCGAGAGGGGCTCCCCTGGATTTTCTCTTCGCTAGAGCTGCTGTCGTTGAGAATGGGGATGTTGTCGTCTTGCTCGTCAGTGCTGTTGCTGCTGCCGTCGTCACCGTCGGTCTAGACGACACGGACAAAGGCTTCTTGAAGACATTGGCGAGAGACGCCAGGACCGGCGAGAACCGCATTGTGATTGATTGATGAGCGGACTCGGAGAGGGTGCTACGTCCGCAGCAGTAGAAAAAGAACGAACGAAAGAAAGAAAGAAAGGAGTCCTTCCTAATTGATTAAAGAAAAAAAGGAAGGAAGGAAGTCAAAGAGAAGGCAATAATTGACCTGGAGAAGCGCTAAGTAAAGAGTTAGGAGTACAGTCCTGTTCCTCTCTCTCTGCCGTCAGGAAAATAATCGATCCGCTCGCTGAGCGACAATTAGCCGCGGCGCTTAGCTAGTTGACTGGACTGGTTGGTTAAGCGCGTCTTCCGATGGACGGGCCAGTCGGTTCATGTCACGTGGTATGGATATACCCTTCAGGAACCGATTTCCAAAAGAGAATTCTATCTTCAAGATACTCCGTAATTACTTGACCTTATAATGAGGTGGGTATTTCTTCAGATCAACATCCAAAGTACATGTACATACAGTACACATACACAACTGGCAGTCTAGATACATAGGCAGAGCGTCATAATTACTTGTATGTACGAGAAGAGAAACTGTTCCTATCCCAACCCTCAGCAATCCTATGGTAGAGGGTTGTCCTAACGCCGTCGACTGCTCATTACCCGTAATCATAAACATAGAGAAAAGTATCGAGCCTATCGTACAACCGGCTTCTTCGCCCGGTCGTAATTCAGCACTCGCCGCTTCCGGTGCGTCTGTGCCAGCTTCCACCGACAATAGAGCATGATTGCGTCCTTCAGCAGCACGAACAGGCATCCGCCAACCACGCTGCGTCCCCATCGACTCTGCAGCAGCCCCGTCTTGCCTCGTTCCAGAGTCGACGGTGGCGTCGTCCACGATTTCGGCAAAATCCACTTCAACAGCCCGCCCATCGACGCCGAAATCGCCGGGAACAACAGCGCCCCCAGCACGGTGTCGGCAAGACTGCTCGTATCGTGGATCAGTTCCTCCCGGTGACGGCCCAGGATCTGTTGGTCCCGATTCTGGCCATTATTCCGGGCTGCGCCTTCGCCGTTTTGTTGATTGCCCTCGACCGGCACGTCCGGTGCGTCCGCTGGGATATCATGGTCCTGCTGGTCATCGCCGACTCCAAGTTGCAGCTCCAGATCGATTTCCATCAGGATCTGCCCGTCCCCCACTTCGCCCAGCGCAGCGGCTCGTCGCCGACCACCACCGTTACCCTGTCGCTCGGCATCCGAAGCCTCCTCCTCCCCATGGCGAGGCTGGACCTCGGCGATCCATTTCCGCTCCAGCGGTCCAAAGACCCTCTCGTAGAGGGCGTTGTAGAAACTCTTCACGTATGGAAGAGCGGCAAAAGTCATGGCCGCACTCGGTGGCCACAGGCTGCCCCCTTGCGGTTCCAGCCCGCTGGGATTATGCGTCGCAAAGAACAGCACCGGGATGGCCGGCAGCAGACCCTCGGCGTATCGCGTCCTGGAGAAGATGAGCACCAGCGGGATGAGGGGAAGTCCAAGGTTCAGGCCCGGATTCCAGGAACCGTCGGCGCTGTCCTCGAAAATCCGTCGGGCATCTTCCGTGCCGAAGACGAAATACATCGAATACACGCCATGCGCGCAGCACCCCGCCCAGACCGTTCCTGCCAGTGTGAACACCATCCCCGGGAGAACCAGCCGACCGGCCAGCCTCTCGATGGCCCGGACGATATCGACAATGTAGCTGCGAGGGCGCGAGATGACAATTTCGGATTTACATTGGGGGCACTGCATCTTGGCTGGCCCGCCATTGCGCTTGCGGTTTCGAGGGTTCTCGAGATCGGCGAGCCAGTCCAGCAGACAAGCTTCATGTGCCGTCAGGGCACACGGGCACGGCGAGCGCCATTCGGAATTGAGCGGCGAATCTTCTGTCTCGTCGGTATAGCAGATCCAACACTTTCGTGGCTCCTGCGTCATCAGAGACTCCTCCGTACGGGCTCGTTCAGTCCTCTCCGCATCTTCCTCTTCGTTTTCTCGCGCCGCGCTTTGTGATTGTGATGGAGACGGTGCATCAGATTCGATCGACGGGCGATTAAGCAGGACGGTCTCGGAATCTCCTAGCGTGTCGTAGGATGGCACATTGTCGTTGTTTGCCCCGGACGCAACCCATCCGCTGGTGCTGGCAGACGAATCTTGATCTGAGGAACGGCTTCTGCCGCCCGCAGAATGCCTTGGTGGAAGCGACGCCATACGGGTCCACGGCTATATGTATTGCCAGGCAGAAAGATAATGAAATAGAAACTTGATTGATCAACGACGTCGAGCTGTTTAAGAACCCATCTCGATAATGATTACTGATACAATAATAAGGATGAGGGTGAGGAAAAGAGTGATGCTTGGGCAGTAAACCAGAGGCAAGGTTGTTGATGAAGGACTGAGGCCGAAGAGGAGGCACTGAGCGGCGATTTCGCGGAGGCGGCGAGACGATCACCTCGACTCCGCACAACGTCAGCGCCAGGCACGTGACTCGATGTCACGTGTTTGAAGATGCCGAGGCAAGCAATACGGAAAATCATCCGCAGTGAGTCATTGGCCATTCCCACCAGTGAATTCAGTACACTCGTACAATAAAACACATCTTTTTTTTTACCACTACCCACATGCGGATTCGTAGCCTCCAAAATGCATGAAAATCGACACTATGTACAGTACACAGTACACAGATGGCAGCCAACATAGCGTTCGAAAAAAAAAACCCATAAAGCTGCGATGAAAATGACAGAGTGAAAGGGAAAAAAAAGGGGCAGTAGGTGAGAACTGCAGAATTACAGCGACCAATCTGCCTCTGGCATGTATAGACCTTCGCCCGTAGCTTTTGTGTGCAACTTTTTTTTTTGGAAGAAAAACACCAGAGAAAAAAAAACGCCATGGATATCCACTCAACAGCAGACAACAAAATGACTAATGAAACAATACCCTAGCGAAGAGGGCTGGAAGCGCAGTCCAACTTCCCAGAAACATGATCAACTTTTTCAGATGACCGCTATCTTAGAAAACAACACCTCGTTTCTTCATCAGAGCCTTCCGCTCCTTTTCCTTGGCTGTGAATAGCAAAAGATAGTAGGTCAGCACAAGGTCACAAAGGACGCAGCATGAATGGGGAGATCAGAAACCTACCTTCGTCGTAGACAAGGAATTCGTGCAGGGCACTGCCCGCAGGGACCATGGGAAGGACGGGAACCTTCTTGTCGGTAAACACTTCCAGCAACGCAGGACCATCGCTTTCGATGAGCCATCTGAGTTTCTCCTCGACTTCGTCAGGACGGGTGCACCGCTGGGCAGGGACACCCATCGACTGCGAGAGCATGACGAAATCGGGGTTCTTCTGGTGAGTGTGGGCGTATCGGTCCTCGTAGAACAAGTTCTGCCACTGCGTCACCATGCCCTGTTCCTCATTGTTGAGAACCAGCACCTTGACGCCAATGTTGAACTGAGCCGCGGTGGACAACTCGGTCAGGGTCATGTTAAAGGACGCATCGCCGTCAATGTCGATGACTAGAGCATCCGGGCGAGCAACCTTGGCACCGATGGCGGCAGGCAGTCCGTATCCCATGGTACCCAGACCACCCGACGTGATCATGGAGCGGGGATAACGCCAACGGTAATGCTGGGCGGCCCACATCTGGTGCTGACCAACTCCCGTAGTGATGATGGTCCGATCCTTGATAGGTTCCGTGATGTTGCTGAGCTTTTCAATCAAGGTCTGAGGCTTAATCGGCCCCTGCGGAGACTCTTTCTCGTAGAGGGACAGCGGGAACCGGGCCTTCCAGTCATTGATCTGAGCAAACCACTCGGGCCGCTCCGCCACGGGGTTAACCTGTGGCAACAGCAGGGCCAGGTTGTCCGCGCAGTCACCTTCCACAGCTTCGGTGGCTTCCACGACCTTGTTGATGTTCTTGGGCATCACCTCAAAGTGCACAATGCCACCACGGCCCTCAGCCGCGGCGAGCTTGGCTTGAGGCGCAAAGCGGGCGACATTTCCCGTGACACGGTCATCGAACCGCGCACCCAGAGCAATAATCAGATCGGCCTCCTGCATGGCCATGTTGGCATAGGCCGAACCGTGCATGCCCAGCATGTGGAGGGACTTGGGGTCCTGCTCATCAAACGCACCCAGACCTTGAAGGGAGGTGGTCACGGGGATGCACGCCTTGTCAGCCAACTCCTTGAGGAGCTTCGGGCCTTCGGGACGGGCGAGGAGACCTTGCCCGACATAGAGAACGGGCTTCTTGGCCATATTCACCAGGCGCGCAACACGCTTGATGGTGGCCTCCAGGTGCTGTCGGCTCAACTCGCGAGCGGCCAAAGTCGCGGCGCTGGGGTGGGACGGGAGAGTGCTGTTCATGGGGATCGGTTTCCGAAGGATGCCGGCGGTGATATCTTTCGGCAGGTCGACGAGGACGGGGCCGGGCCGGCCACTGGTCGCAATCTCGAAAGCTTCCTTAATCCGACGAGGCAGCTCGGCCACGTTCTTGACCATGACGTTCCATTTCGTGCAGGCTCGGGAGATACCAACGACGTCGGCTTCCTGGAAGGCATCCGTACCAATTGCCGTCGTGGGCACCTGACCGCAGAAGACCACCATGGGCGTACCATCCGAGAGAGCATCCTGCATGGGCGTAACGACGTTAGTAGCGCCGGGACCTGAAGTCACCAGCACAACACCAGGCTTGCCGGAAGCACGGGCATAGCCTTCAGCCATGTGGCCAGCACCCTGCTCATGACGAGGGAGGATGAAGTCGAAATGTTTGGAATTGTAGATGGCGTCGAAGACAGGAAGAATGGCACCACCAGGGTAGCCAACTGCACCAGGAGGGGTCAGAACTCATGCCCATGCTGGATCGCCATAATGTTCCATATCTCCGAAGGGCAGATTATGACTCACAGATGTGCTTGACTCCTAGCCTGAGCATCATCTCATAGAAGATCTCACCACCGCTCAGCCCGACGAATCTGTAGAAAATAAAAGGGGATCGTCAGCCTCGTTCAGAGAGCAATGGTAGTCGGAGTTGTACATACGAGTCGTCGAGTTCAGGCAGGTTCCGGTTCTCCAAGGGCGAGACATTGTTGCGCTGCGAATCTTGGTTGAATGACGAGCTGGGGACCGGACGAGCACCGCTGTAGCATGCGAGTCAGTCCACGAACCAATTCGCCGTCTTTGCTCACCACGAGCGTTGTACAGGGAAGCACTCACGGAGCGGCAGCCGTCGCCGTGCTCTGGCCTCGTTTCGCGGTCTCAACGGCGGAAGCACGCTGGACAGAGGAGCGGTGGGGTGAAACGGCGCGGGCGACCAGGCAGGCGGAAAAATGCCTCCGGCCAAAGGCAAGCTGCCTCTGGCAGGGCAGAGTGCGCAGGGCACTTCTCGAGGGTCTGAAAGGCATCATCGTTCGCCGCAGACGCAGCCAGGCCACCCGGGAAGCGAAGGGGAGGGAGATGAGCAACGCGCTCGGCAGTAAATCTGGGCGAGCGAAGAATAATATCTTTGGGCCTGGAGCTAGCGGAAGGCCAAGCGCAACGGCGATGAGTCTTTTCGTCCAGCTGCTCCCCGTGATTCGCCAGCCGTGATTGGCCAGCGACCCCGAGCGATCGCCGGGCGGTCGGCGTGGATGCGAAATCGGGGGGGAAACACAGAGCCACATCCGATCATCGGGGCGGTGGAGACAATCCCGACCAGCCATCGCCAGCACATTATTCATGCTGATTCTCTGCATCATCGAGTCATCGACTCTCCTGCTATCCGTAGCACGTACTCCGTAGAGTACGCCGGAAACAGCATGGACCAATTCTCGACCAGTCCCTCGCAACAAGCTCAATCCTGCAAGAGCTTAATAGGACGGAGAACCCGAGACTACTGGTTCCTGTTCGGACGAACGGCTCCATATACTCATGTCACGAGTTGCACGCAGCTCTGTCAGTCATAGTAATGAATTATTACTATTATTTATTATTATGGCCTGGATGCTTCGCTACTCGCCCTGTTCTGCAATATTTGTAATTTGTATGCGTTCTGCAGTGCAGTCTGCATGCGTAACGTCAATCCTTGGCATGTTCGGAGTGTCCTGCAGAATCCCTACAGGGATGGACTTGGCAAATGCCGTCGGATGGTTTACGAGTCAGGAGATGGCAAGATTTAACAGAACTCACATTTTTATTATTATTTTTGACCTGACACATTGCACGGAAATATGACTCAGAGAAGAGTAAAAATATAGTGGTCGTACGATAGTTAGGAGTATCCAAATTGCATTCCCCACTTACCAGCTCTGGATATATCTGCAGAAGCGCTGAGGTCTTGCATACCCATTTCAGGTAATACCTCCACAACAGGCTGACTCATAATCAGCAAGTAGATGTGGAATCCTGCAAACCTAGGTCATAAAGCCAGAATACCTGTATCAACACTGCATAGGGGCCATTAAATAAAAGCATAGCAGTGATGACTTCAACAAAAAAAAAGAGTCCTCCAAGAGTCTGACTGTTTTACTGCGCAACTGAATGTGTAGTCAATAAGTTTGCGGGGACAGGGGCAGTTATTTATAAAGGAATTTTGCAGGTCACGAGAAGCAACTGACCAGCACAGAGCTACTGATCAAGTCATCAAAATCAACTTCATTATCACCAGAAGACAACCTCGTCGTACACCGTCGAATTATTTAGCTCACCGCCTTCCCGATAATCCTCCCGAGCGGAGTGTTGCAACGCTGCGGTAAAGAATTAACGCGGGGTATTGTCCCGCACTCTGTCGCGTGGCCATGAGATCCCTCCCCGTCCGTTCCATTGGGAATCAAGATCTGTTTCGACCAGAATTAACAAGAATTGAGCTGGCTGTATTCTGAGTCGCCCTGTCCAGAGTCTCTCTGAAACCCCTCGAGTCCACCACAGGAGACCTTGCTACTTCTCGCAGCTCAACCCCGCCATGGCAACCCCGCAAGTGCTGGTCCCGCAGACCGAAAACATTGCAGACGTCTACGCAACAGATGACGCCTCTGCGAAAACAGTCGCACCGGAGATTCAAGCCCGCTGGAGTAATCTTCTCTCGCAATTTGTCAAGCTCTACGGCCACCGCCCCGATTTCGTGTCGCGAAGCCCCGGACGGGTGAACATCATCGGCGAGCACATCGACTACAACCTCTACGATGTCCTGCCCACGGCCGTCAGTGTCGACGTCATCATCGCCGTCAAGGTCGTGCCCTCTGAAGGTCCGGAGGCATTTGTCAAGATCGCCAACGTGAATTCGGAGAAATTCCCCTCGCGTCAGTTTACGGTCCCGCATGATAAAGACGTCGAGATTGACCCGGCCAAACACGAGTGGGTCAATTACTTCAAGGCAGGTCTCGTGGGAGCCCTGAAGTTCCTCCGTCAGAGAAGCGGAAATGCAAGCTTCACCCCCGCGAGTGTCGAGGTTCTCGTAGATGGCAATGTTCCTCCTGGTGGTGGGATCTCGAGCAGCGCGGCCTTCGTCTGCTCGAGTGCACTGGCCGTGATGAAGGCCAATAAGCATGACGTTTCGAAGCAGGATCTTCTCGACTTGGCGGTTGTCTCGGAGCGTGCGGTGGGAGTATATTCCGGAGGGTCAGTTTCTATCTAGTTCCTGTTCCTCCTTTCCGAATGAATCATTATCGCTGACGCATCTCCCGCACAGAATGGACCAGGCAGCCTCCATCTTCTCCTCCCGTGGATACCTCTTGTACACTCGGTTTTTCCCGAGCTTCTCTGTCCAGCACGTGCCCGTACCCAAGGCAGAAGAAGAGATTACCTTCCTCATGGCCCAGAGTTTTGTAACCTCGGCCAAGGCGGAGACTGCTCCTCGTCGCTACAATCTCCGGGTCGCCGAGTGCACTCTCGCCGCCGTGGTGCTGGCGAAGCTGCACGGGATCACCCTGCAGAAGGACAACAGCTCCTTGGGATACAGCCTGCGCAACTTCCACGAGGAGTTCATGCGCAAGGAGGGCCGTCTCAGCGACCCTCTGGAGAAGCAGCTCGATTCCGTCATCCAGACCGCCACCGAGCTGCTGTCGCAAGAACAGGGATACACGCGGGAAGAGATCGCCAAACTGCTCGACATCACCGTCCCCGAACTCGAAGCTCGGTTCCTCTCCTCGTTCCCGGTCCAGGCTGAGCGGTTCCTGCTCCGTCAGCGGGCGCTGCACTGCTTCAAGGAGGCGCGCCGCGTGCTGGACTTCAAGGCCTGCCTGTCCAATGCCGAGAGGCTGGACGAGCAGCGGATCCGCTACCTGGGCCAGCTACTCAACGAGTCGCAGGAGTCATGTCGCACCGACTACGACTGCAGCTGCCCGGAGGTGGACGAGATCTGTGCGATTGCCCGCCGCGCAGGGACCTGGGGCAGCCGACTGACGGGCGCGGGCTGGGGCGGCTGCACGGTGCACATGCTGCCTCAATCGAAAGTCGAGGCTGTGACCAAGGCGTTGCGAGACGAGTACTATCTCAAGAGATTCCCTGACATCAGCCAGGAGAAGCTGGCGGAGGCTATGGTCATCAGCAAGCCGTCTAACGGATCCTTCATGTAAGTCCCCCTTAAAAAAAAAAGAGAAAAGAAAGAAACAATCAGTTCGAGGATATCCCGGACGAACGCGCTTGCTAACCTATCGATCACTTCTCTTTCATACAGGGTCACCGGCGCAGCACTTAACGCGTAAACAGCGTAATAGACAGTTCAATTTTTTATAACCCTCCTTATCTTAACCACCATTCGGAACTAAGCTTTCCCAGGGGGAAGATGATGCTTTTTTTTTTTCAAAAAGCTTGTCGATATATATAATATAACTTGTTTTTGTACATAGATTGACGATATCCATTAGCATGGGTAATGGGAAGATATGTCTACCTTACCAAGGTATTTCTTAAGTTTGTGTAAAAAAAATCATGCATATATTCACATCAACTCGCTAGCTACTACGTAATCTCTCTCTTGTATTTTTTTTTCCAACAGTCAGGACATCACTTCCTTATTCTTCTTCTTCTCCTCCTGCTGGCGACAGAGAGATATATACTCCATACGGTATACCTACCTAATTGATACACTACCTTCCAAAAAGGGAAATATTAATAACAACAGTATTACGAATCACTAATTACGGAGTAATTAAAGGGGGTGCTGTAGCTACAGGAGGAGAGACGGCATCCCTTATCAGATGTTTTTCTCTCTCTTTTTTTGTGTGTGTGTGTGTGTGTATGCGTGTGTGTGTTTTAAAAAAACTACTTGGCTGGCCATCTACTATTGCTTGCTTGTTCTTCGAAGAAAGTAAATTATCATTGTAGTCCGCTATCTATCCTCGGACTTCTCGGACTTGGCTTGGCAATATACTCTGTTCTGTAAATAATCCGATCAGATTAATATTAATATCACTGTCATGAGTTGAGTGCGCCATTCTGCAGGGGCCGCACTCTACTACTCATTTCATTCATTCTCCTAGGAAGTTGTGGGACAGCTCTTCCTTCCTCCATTCGTTTCGTGTTTCAGTGTGATATGGTTCAATGTCATGCATGATTATCCACTTGGAGGAGAGTGAGAATCACTCTCACTATCACTTTTCGTCCCGCGGCATCACGACGCCTTGCTGACGTTCATATTGCTATCCGGTGTTGGTTTTTCGGGTATGTCCGACCGGATACAGTAGAGTATTAGGGAGGTCTGCCTCCCAAGTTCTGCAGGCTGCTCTCAAACCAAGCCACGGCAACGTTTATGATTGCCTTATGGCAAGAGAGTCCAGCCAAGACTGCGGACCGGTCTGGTAGACATCTGTGATGTGCCGGCGGTGTTTTCAGCAGCGCCTAGCGCATATCTGAAGTCCATACCGGTCTGTCACTCATTCCCATAGACGGCAGTTGGGTAAAGAGCCGTGCGCCGCTCAGGACTCCTTCTTTGGGGTAACCTTGCTGAAGAAGTCGCTCATCTTCTTCATCCCGCTGGTATCGACCTTTTTCAGCTCCCGGACGCCACGGGACTCCCCCGCTTTCTTTTTCTTCTCTTCTTCCTCCTTCCGGCGCTTCTTCTCAGCGCGGGACTCTCGCGCATCCTCATCTTCAGCCGCCCGTTTGCGAGTGTAATCAGCGGCTGAGCGGGATGCGAGCGCCTCGGCCCGGAGCTCAGCAATGTGCTTCAAACGTTCCTCGAGTGGTTTGAAGTCCACAGGGCTTTCTGGAGAACTTAAAGCCTCATCGACACTTGCGGAAAGATGCGCGGGTAGATATGAGGACTGCATGAAGGATAGAGCAACACGGATCCGAAGTAACCGTTTAATTCCACCCGATGTCAATGCATCGTCCATGGAAGGCTGCGTAGCGGGTGTAGACACACCAGAGGGAGTCGAGGCCGAAGCAGCAGTAGCAGCAGCACTTGACTGAGTTTCTGACTGGTCGGGAGACTCAGTCTCTCGACTCTCCTCGACGGAACCGGTATTCTCGTCGGTTACTATGTCCTCCCTCTTGACGCTCTGAAGGGGGACCTCCAACTCCTGACGGACAAAGCGCTCTTCCAGGGTCGCTGGGAGCCCTTGCGATACCATGCGCTCTGCCTTAGCGAGCAGCTCCTTGACAAGCTTTGCCTCGCTGAATCGATACATCTTCTCATCACCGGCTTCCACAGTGTCACAGATAGCCTCCATCCGCCGCTCCAAAGTAGGCCTAAACGACTCGTTGTAGAGAACATGGCGAAGGTGTGGTGAGAGGCCCTCTTGCATATCGAGAATGTCATCGAGAGGTTGAAACAACTTCTTCGCAGAGTTGTTGGATGCAGCCGGTGCAAGTATTGGTAACATGAAAAACATGATATCGATCGGCGTCGCAATCAGCAGCTCAGCTTTCTTTGAAATAGCGCCTTTCGAGGGCTGTTTCTGTCCTTCATTCTCGACCGATATCTCATCCGCTTTCGGCGTAAACAGTATACTCCTAGGCTGATGTGGAGCTGGAGCGACAGCCGTAAACTCGTACAATCCGGCTTCTGGACAGAACAGATAGCGATTCAAGGACCCCGTACTGGGGTTCGGCAGCGAAACAAATCTGGTTGCATCACTCGTTCTCGAAGGTAGGATAAAGGTCCGACTGGGCGTGTGCGCGGTCTCCAGCGCCTTCTGCCCGTGTTCCTCAGTCTCAGAAGACTCCACGGGGGCGCGAGATCGGGTCTTCATAATTGGCAACAGATGTCAGAATTCCCTTCCCACGACATGAAAGTAACAGTAGATGGCGTGTCGTGGGACAATTGGCCTTGATCTTTGGATTAGTAGTCCGCAGAGGAGTTTGCTTTGATCGGTTCCGCTAGACTGCCGGGCCGACGCGACACGCGACTCTCACGCGTTGAAACATGGAAATGCTCCCGCAGGCCAATCACGCCGCAGAAAGCAAACCCACCAGGACCAGCACACATGTGATATGTCAATCTGCAGCTCGTTCGCGGCATGACAACACGCCGTGTCGGGTTGCAATTGCTGCGACGCTGTTATTTCTTCAGACGCTTCCTGGTGAGACGAGACAATACTGCATTTCGTCTGCCCGGTGAGACGATGACGTCGGGTTGATACGCCATTCCTGCCATGGGAAGGGTTCACCGACTGGATTACTGAGTTACAAGCACACTGTTTATCGCTGCTCTGTGGTGGAGAGTTTCCTGCTTGTCTGAGCGAGTATGTCTACATCTGCTTCCTACAAAACATGCTGCCGCTAACTCATGGCTGTTTCCGCAAGTGGTTGAGACATCATGGCCACCCAAGTCACCACGGGACGCCCTCCTCAGCTCGCCGAGCGGCCGCAAACGATATCAGGAATTAATGCGGAGCCGTCAGGCGAACCTCGCATCGCCGATTAAATTGTCCAATACTACCCCAAACCTCCGGTCCAGAGCGCAAGAGCTCTTACTTGATGGCGATGACGATGAGCAACCAAATGAGGAGGATGACGAAGAGACGCTTAAATTGAAGCTGGCTGCGATCGAGGCACGTCTCAAGTTGAAGAAGCTTCAGCAGAAACGTGCCAAAGCGGCTCTTTCGAGCTCGGATGCGGAAGGAGACGACGGGCGGAGGAGACCGGGCTCGGCCGTTAGCTCATCAGTGCTGCCTTCCAGTCGCCTGAATGCTGCCCGGGAGAGACCTACGGCGGACCGCGTTGGTAATGGGGATGACGTGCAGGTTCCATTATCTCCGTCAAAGAAGATCCCAGCGGTTGCTGAGCCCGTATCGCCCCGGAGAGTGCTACTCGGCATTGACAAGGGCCTAAAAGGGAAAGATGTGTCTCTTCGCCGACCACCCAGCTCGAGAGTCAGTGCTCGGCCAGCGAGTTCTCTTGAATCTCGAGATAGAGCAACTCCCCGTGCTGGTGACGGGTACGGGTCTCGGGATATTTGGTCTTCCGCCGGTGAAGAACCCCGACGGACCAAGACCTTCAGCGAGAGAATCGCGGAAAGCAGAAGTGCTGATAGGGCTCGACAAGAGAGAGCAGAGAAGATACAAAGAAGTCGAAGCACCGCGTTCCAGATCGACAAAGCAGAAATAGAACACTTCAAGCAAGTGGCAGCTTCTCAACGGCCATCAACGTCACCTGTAAGGTCGCAAATGACTGAGAGTTTTAGTCGCGAGGATGTCTTGCGATCATTTTGCGGATCTTCTTCAGCTTTACGAAGGACCAAGACAACCCCAAATCTTCGAGAGTCTGGTTCAGGCGCATCTTCACCACATCCCGGTGAGAACAGGCAAACACAGAAATCGGCGGGAGAATTGTCGGGGTCTGATACAAGGAGTTCTAGCGAAGCCCAAGCAGATACGGGCGAGGAGGGCGAAGGTAGCGAAACGAAAGCTCCAGATTATTCCAAGTATGAGCCTTACTCGGCTCTGCACCTCTCCAATCGCATCTTGCCGCACTCCTTTCTCACCAGAACGTTGGCGTCCAAGACGATCCTTCGTATCCCCGATCTCCTAAAGGCGGTTAAAGCCCCTGACTTTGACCTTCCTGACATCGAAGGAGACTATGTGGTATTTGGAATCGTCGCCTCCAAGTCTGCTCCAAAGGAGCATAAAGAATCTAAAAGGGTGACCTCGAAGGAAGTTGACCCTTACGACGATGGTCTCAATAACACGGACAAATATATGGCAATCACTCTCACGGATTTGAAATGGACCATCGATCTTTTCCTCTTCGATACCGCCTTCACCAGATACTACAAGCTCTCCGAGGGTATCCTAATCGCCATCCTGAACCCTAACATCATGCCGCCGCCCCCGAACAAAATCGACACTAATCGATTCAGCCTGTCTATCTCATCATCTGACGACACAGTTCTCGAAATCGGCTCTGCAAGAGACATCGGGTTCTGCAAAGCCGTCAGAAAGGATGGTAAGACTTGCCAGGCCTGGGTCGACGCTCGCAAGACGGAGTTCTGCGACTTCCACGTGGATGCGCAGATCCGTCGCACGCAGTCGCAGAGGATGGGAGTCAATGGCGGAACTGGCATGTTTGGACCGGGTGGACGCTCCGGATCGCGCACGGGGTTCTTTGGCAGTGGTGGCGTTAAACAGGCCAGCGCCAGACGTGGACTGAAATCCGAGGGTGCTCAATATGACAGAGAGACTCAATCCACCTTCTACATCGCGCCAGCTCCCAAAGCAAGCAGCCATTCCGGCGGTTTCTTTAATAACCGAGGGCAACGCAGTACTTCTGCGTCCAGTTTACTCGATGGCGACGATGATCCTTTTCTGCCCGCCGGGATGAATGCACGCGGCGCGGAAAACAGAGAGGAGCGCCTTCGGAGACGTCTTGCGGAACAGCAGCGCGAACGGGATATCGCCAACAAACTCGGTTCCAAAGGCGGAGGGATAGGCGCGGAGTATCTCCGTACTCGAGTGGGCGAGAATTCCTCCTCTCCACTCGTTGGCGAAGGAAATGCGAGTTCCTCCTCTTTTGAGGACAAAAATAGCAATAACAACAATAATAATAATAACAAGGCCGGCTTGTCATCCTCTTTGGGCCTGCTAGGCAGCGCCAGAAAAAAGGCAGACACCATCCGCCTCAGCCCACTGAAGCGCACCCACGAGGGCGACAAATCCCGGAGCGCAGCAGCAGTCAAGAAGACTCGCTTCATCACCTCCAAGGGCATCCGAGAAGCCGGCAGGGACAGTCTCGGAGGGACGACCAACAACAGCAACAACAAAAACGGCAACGACTACGATGATGATGATGATGATGAACTTGATATCATTTGATTAGCCTTGTCATTATTATTATTAAAGCTTCCTACCTACAATGGAGAGCTTTGTCTGTTCCACTCTTTCTTTCTTCTCTTTTTTTTTTGACCCATATTTTACTCAAGCTAATTTCAGGTCCAAGGGTAGCAAGGGTGGGTGGGTTAGGTAGGATACATCCAGGTACAGGCTGATCGGGGGAAAAAAATGGAAAGAAAAATGGAAAAATGGAAAAGCACCTACTGCAGTGTATACTTTCCGTGTCTGTCTGTGTACTGTTTCTGTTCCTATGTGTTCGGATGGGTGTCCCTTCTATTTTTTTTGAACACCAAACGCGATTAAGCATCGTTTATTTGGCTGGCTACATTGGGTTGTGCTGGCTTGGTTTATTTATTTATTTCTTTCTTGCTTGTATGTATTACACTACACTCTACGGTACACACGTACGTACGGAGCTTTTCTTTTTTTTCTTTTTTTTCCCTTTGAATGAAGCCAGACGAAGGAATAGGAATAGAGATATTCATGTCTCAATGACTATGACTGGTTGATTCGGTTTCATTTGATTCATTTCAAGTCGACTTATTTCCATTCCTATCACGCACGCAAGAGTAAAAAATAACGCCATCCAGACCATTATCCACAACCAGCCAGATCTGTCCATCTGATCGTATCGCCATCCCAAACTTGAAGATGAAAATCAACAAGGTTATTGTGGTTTTTCTCACAGAGCCGAAAACAAAAAAGAGACTCATTAAACGACATGAGGTCGGAAAAGGATAGGGGTCGACGTCAAAAGGATTACAAGCCGTAGTGAAACGCGCTTGCAAGGCGACAGCAGACAAATAAATGTCCCGGAAAAGAAAACATTCGAATCCAAGCAACTGACGTCCGAAAATCCCACCAAACGCCGTCATTCGTCTCAAGCAAAAGTTAAAGAATAAACAGAAGTAGGTCCATACTCAGAAGAATCCCGAACGACAAAGAAAAAAAAGCATCATCACGTGTCACGTTGCATACCGTCGAATGATGGAAGCAATCATGACAAATGATACGCCGAGGGAATCACCATAGTGCACCAACTAGTTGCCCTTGGTCTTCTTCGTGACAGGACCTGACATGCTGGGAGTTGGATCGGCATCCCGTTTCTTGGGTATACTGAATTCTACTCCTGGAGGAGATGGCGTCTGTTTCTTCCTCAGCCAACCATCAAATGGACTGATGCGCTTTTCTTTCTTGGGCTCGAGAACTGACGGTGTGTCATTCTGATTCGAGGTCGGACGCCCAGGGCGAGGACGAAGGGTTCGGCCGGTGGCCCCTGGAGAAGCAGGCGTCGTGACCGTCGACTTGGCGGGAGGAGTAACCTGTGGCTGGTCCATGTTGACATCGGTCATGTGATTGGGTTCTTCGTTTTCATTCTCGTTCTCGTTCTCATCCGCATCAGCAAGGTCCTCGATATCAGTGGCCGCCTCTTCATCCGCGGTGGCAGAAGAGGCACCACCAGACTGTGATTTCTGGGCAGTCGGGAAAAGCACACGGGGCTTAATTGATGAGCGGGTCAACGGACGAACACGGGTGTTGACCGAGTCATCGAGCAGGTCGGGGCGAGCAGCAAAGAGACCCAGGTCATCCCCGTCGCTATCCTCATCCTCGTCGTCTTGGAACTTGCGGAATATCTTCTTGCCGCGGCTGGAAGAATATGTTAGCATATTAATCGATCTGGAAACAAAGAGTGTAGACTTACAAGACATAAAGCATTCCATCTTCACGTTTCAGAGCATCCTCCACCTCTTCGGAGCGTTTCACCTCTTTCACCTCTTCCACCTTGCGTCGCTTAGAGGTGTGCGAACCAGTGTTCAGAGAAACGTGCTTGTCCTCAGGCTTCTTGTAGAAAGGATTCTCCTCACTTTTGTCAAGCTTGGGAATGCGATCGCGGGAATCAGTGAAGATCTCGATCTTCTCATGATTCTCACTGGGGTTCTCATGAAAGCTTTCAAGAGAGAAGCCAGTGTACTTTTTGCCCTTCTTTGCACGCGACATGGACGCGTTAGGGAAGAGATTTCGTGCAGTGGTGCTGGGGTCCTCAACAGCCTTCTTCCGTGGAGTTTTTGCCGGTGTTGGAAGCATACCGGCAGTTCTCGTGATTGTTGTGGAGCGGGAAGATGGTTTGTGTGAGGAGTTCTGTGAAGTCTCAGAGAGATTGGACATATGCAGGGCTGGGTTGTCATTCACTGCTAGCGTGGGCAGTGGTCCCCTTCCCTGGCCAGAGGACTTTTTCCGGGGAGAGCTGGTAGGGGACCCCGGCGGTGACAGTGTGCCGGTGTCGCTTAGACTTTGTTTTCGCGTGCTGGTCAGACCTGACCGGGCTTGCTTCGGAGAGCTGGGTGGTGGTGTAGTATGTGAGTCCCGAGCGGCCCTTTGACTGGCCAGTCTGGCTGATTGACGAGTAGGATATGGATCGTAGGAGTGGTAGCCTGCTCCATGTTTGGGAGTAGGAGGAGGACGCAGTGTTTCGAGCGAAGGGGGTGGTGGAGTGGTAGCCATCTGGACGACACCTATTACTCGGGCCTCAAATCACTTTGGTGCAAGATTGCTCTTGTCATATACACGCTGCCAACAAGGAACAGATAATACCAGACGACCGCGAGACTGTATTCCAAACAGGGGCAGTTGATCGCCTCGAACCAGGGCACACAATCGACGCAGGGGCGACAAAACAGGCGCGATAACAAAGAATGGAGTATCCAGAGGCTCACAAGCAACACAATGACGTGGGATGATGGTCAATGGCAGCAGTCAAGGAACGAGCGTGTAAAGCGAAGGACGTGTGTCGTCGGGCTGCCAGCAGAGGAAATGCAGTGCGCGCGGTTGGGCGTCCAGCCACCGCTTTCCCTTCCAAAGCACGTTAAATCGGGAGGCTGACCGCGGACACGGCGGCGCGCCCCACCATCCCCGACGCGGTGTGACACGTTCCGCCAAACAGTCTGCCTCGATCTGAAAACAAAAAGAAAAGGAAATTCCGCATGCCACCACCGTCATAGCCAGCACAGTGCCTCCTCCGTACAGCGTGATCGCCTGTGGTGCAATTCGCTGCCGTCGTCTCGGTCCACAACCCACGCTGGCCAATGCTTCAGCCGTCTCCCCGTCCAGTTCAGACACTGCATGCTGCAGACTACGGCCTACGTCCCCACACATCATCATTGACACCGTCGCAAGCGAAACGAAGAAAAATCAACACTTGATTGATTATTTCCGGCATTCCTTGAGATCGCCTTACAGAGCATAGACGTCCCCGGACTGCTTACATTCCATCTTTTCTTCGAATCGGCAGCCAGGCCACCAGTGCACTGGCGCCTCTATCCACGTGCAAAGCGGGGAGCACACGCCCATAGCCATCATGGCCGTCTCCAGTGCTGCAGAGGAAATGGAGCGGCTCCAGCTGTCCGATGAGGACACAGAGGAGCTCTGGAACTCTCCGTCTCAGCGGCGCACAAAGACACCGGACCAGAAGACCGGCAAAGAAACCAATCAACAGAATCGTGACAGCGAAACACTATTCGACCGTGAGGAGGCGCGAGAAGCGGCCTTACGCAATGAGCTACAGACTGTGAGGAATGCAAACAAGGCAATTGAGGGTGTTCTTGAGAGTCTCGCTCGAGCAAAAGAAAACATGGAGGTCTGTTGAGCCCGGCTTGGACAAACTGGTAATAGATAAAGGATCACGGGCTGACGCACCCACAGACAGTATCCCGCACCGTCAATTCCGCTTCGACATTGCTGGATACCTGGACCCGCATACTGTCTCAGACGGAACACAATCAGAGACTGATTCTGAATCCAAGATGGCAAGGAGCCTCGCAAGACATCGCAGAGATCGAAAGCGAAGCGGCTGCCAGACAGCAGGAAAAGGAACGGCGAGAACTCGAGTTACAGCAACGCAGGGAAGCGGCAGCTAGGAAGGCGGAAGAAGAGGAGAAGAAGAGAGCAGAAGCGGCGGCAGCAGCCAGTAGAGGAGCTCGCGGCGCATCCAGAGGCAGAGTTCGGGGTGGCCTTGGCCGGACCCCAAGCGTCTCGTCCTCGAGTAAGATAGCAACTAGTGTGGGCAGAGGCACTGCTGCATCATCCACGGCGGCTACGCGAAGACCAGCGAGTGGGATTGCAAGGGCTCCTGGATCGGTTCGCGGCCGTGGAAGGGCATGAGATGATAGTAAATGTACTCCGTACTAGTGTATGTGAACATAAGCATGATAGATAAGCCTCTAGGAGGCCTGAACATGACAGAGATACCCTCAGTAGTCATCCTTGCTGTTTTTGACGTCCAAGATCTTCACTCTTAAGCGATATATACCCTGATGCTATCTGGGAACTGCTTATCAATGTCTGGGCCCTCAATTGCTCGTGCTTCCAACCGGGTAGTTTAGTCGTGGGATGATAGCGGGAATAGTTCGCGCCAAGCCTTCCAGCGTACATCGAGCTCGAGCAAGTTTACCTCGTGCCCCCTGGTCAACAACGGCCACATCGATTCTGCGCAACAATCCGCATAAGGGATGATGAACTTTGCCCCTTACCAGGACGAATCTCCTGAAGCTGGGCGGGCTCTGTCCCCTCCGGTCCCCGATGCGCGCCGCGCGACACCTCCTGCCCCGACGCAATCCCCCGGTCCTCTCCCTCCCCCGAATCACTTCAGCAACAGCGGCGGTTTTGGCAACACTGGATATGGAAGAGATGTAGAGGGTGGTCGGCTGAGCCTGGGGGCGTTCGAAACGAGCTTGCCTCTGCGGGTGGACTATGAGGCCATGCTGGCATACCTGCTTCTTCCCCCGGCCGGCGGGTTGTTTCTGTTGCTGGTGGAACATAAAAGCGATTACGTCCGGTACGTTCGAATCAAGTACATGTACAATTGGTTATACTTCTTTTGTTGGCGCAATGAATGGATGGATGGATAAAATGGCTGATGGAACGTTTCCCTTGGCAGGTTCCATGCGTGGCAATCCAGCATGCTCTTCAGCGCCATCTTTGTATGCCAGATCCCTCCCTCTCCTCTCCAATTATTACCGGAGCACTCTGTCTAATCTAGTCTTTTTTGGTCGCCGCGCGCAGATCCTTCATCTCCTATTTTCGTGGTCGAGCGTTATCTCATGGCTCATGTTTATCGGCGATCTCTTCCTGATCGGTTTCCTCAGTTTGCATGCCTATCGAGATGGTAAGATACGACCGAATCCAAGACATTGAAAGAACGTTGGAATTGCTTGGAAGGAAACGTCTGAGCGTGCGAATCCACTGGCTGACCCGTTTCTGATGCCAGTCGACTCACTCGAACATTACGAGGTTCCATTCTTCGGACGACTCGCGAATTCCTTCGTGGATGACGAATAAAGTAAATGAATTTAAAGTCGAACTCGAAATTGACAGCGCCTGCCTCTTTGCCTCTCGTTTTTTTTATCTTCTTTACTGCTAAGCATATGAGAGATTTCCGTTCAGATACCCCCATTCTCGATTACCATTTGTTGGTGGCTTTCGTCATATCTGCAATGACCATGGATTTTTTTTTATACTTACGGCTGCTGCATTTAGATCTGACTTGTCAATATTATATGATAGAGCCACTTTGTAACATGGGACCCTGATTGTCCAGCTGAGTTGTATATATCACGATTGCTCTTCTTTTTCTCCCTGCAAATTTACTGATTCCTCAATGCATGTATGTAATTTCCGTCTCCGTTTGATGAACCATGTGTAATGTACTGTACATGGTTCGTATCGTGTTTGATAACGAGGACTCTTCCTATCGTAATTGCCACAAGCCTTACAGTACTCTGATCTTCTTGTTGTACAGCCGTTCATAGCTATCGAATCGATTCCTTACATGTAGTTTCAAAATCCCGAAAAGAAAAAAGCCCTATTACTCTAAGGTCTAAATGGATTAATTCTTCAAACTGACCCCTCTACAATGCTGGAGCATAAAATCATACCACAAATAGTATTAAAAAATTGATTACTGTTTAAGAGGGCAGGTAAACAAAAAAAAGAATACGTGGTGCTGGTGCTGCCCGGAATCGAACCGGGGCTGGCACGGCCACAACGTGACGTCCTACCACCAGTGGGGATGTTAGCTGGGGCGTTGGGAATGGCAAAGGGATCTTCAGAATTAGGCAACTTACTAGACCACAGCACCTATTAGGCTACAGCACCTGTTTGGAGACCCCTGGTTGCCACTGTCTTGTTGTTCACAGTTGGTACCGCCGGATTGTAGCCGAGGTTTTATTGCCTTAGGTATACTGATCTTGTTGTAGGTAGATACGCTATCTGTCCACTTTAAATAAATTCTACTTTGAGTCGTAGTACAGTTATTATTGCTGAAAATGCTAATGTAAATATCTAATGAAATGGTCAATGGAAAATACAGGGCGGTGCAATGAAAGAAAGCATGCAACAGATCTGGCGCATTTACTAATCATTGGTGCCAGATTTATGACACTGAATAATAAGGTGAGAGCTCGCTTAGTACGATTCTGACGAGTAGAAAATCATAAAAACACTGCTAACACAATCAGAAGTGCCTTCTAATTCAACCATTGGTGTTCGACCTATACAACATGGGGGCCAGAAATCCCCGAGTTCAGCCTCAGCCGCCTTACAAGCAGCAGTGCCAACAACTAAGCCACTTTCATTAAACAACTCTCCTGTCTCTTGTCAGAAGACATGCAAATTAGGCTAGACTTGGCTAACTTTAGTACGGAGAGCTACTCGGTAAGGAAAAGGGGATCGATGGTAAACACGCGACGCGGCGACATGCTGTGTTAATATTAAAAGACACCCCGCATGATGATCAACATGAGATTATAAAATTTGTTTCTCCATCTTCGTGCTTACGAACTTATATACTCCCGCTTGGCCTAGGAACTTCGTTACTCAACGTAGCTCGGCATGTCGCCCCCGTTTCTTGGATTCCCTTATGATCCCCCCAACGCAGCGTCTCCCGTAGAGCTTCCGCCAAACTGCTCCAACACATTTACCGCTGCCAATGCCTCCGGAACATACGATATAGGCAACAGTTTTGTAAACGGGCCATATGGCTGGGACACAGTGGAGGACATGAGCTGGACAGTGACTGTAGCCCAGACAGGCGGCGTGGTGCAATCATACAGCTGGCTCGGGCTCCCTCCTGCCACGTACGATGATACAGCGATAGGCAAGCGAGCAAAGCTTCTTCTTCTTCTTCCATCCCTTGAAGTCGCACTAATTAATTAAATCTTCGGGGAAAAGTGAATCATTTCTCTGCTCCAGATGTGGACCCGGGGCGATCTCCCTTTCAGCGGATGTGCCATCTTCATGGGCGGTTTGTCGGATAACCTCATTCGAAGAGCACAGGCCGACAACGGGAACTGCTCGGCGACATTCGATGACGACTGTGTAGAAGCGCTACTCGACCAGGTACGGAATACAGCTTGGGGATTTACAGCGACCGCCACCGATGTCAGCCAGCACCGTCGAATCTCACCGCGGGGAGCTTGCCGCGAGTCTGTCGGGATATCCTCAACGCCATCACGGCGAAGAATGCGGTTCCAGATGCTTGTGCCAAGTTTGTGGGACTTGAGCGGACCTGGTACGATGGGGTGTATTCCAATATTTCATTCACAACGACAGGTATGGAAGATGTCAACATCTATCTGGGCTCTGCAAAACTGATCTCAGACTGTACAACAGGGATCACGGGCCCCAATTCCACAGCCGCCGAGACATGTCAATTCAACACTTCGACCGTCGCTCCATCGTTTGCGGTACCGAATTCAAAGCTCTACCTCATAACCCAGTATGAGAGCCAGCAACTTCCAAACACGAGTATCCTGGACACGACCTATGACGAGGCCACAACGTTAGTGTATCCAATATTGACGACACTATTCCCACCCGCAAATGATAGCGACAGAGCCGATTCTGTCGACCAGGCAGAAGCCTTTTTCACCTGTGCCCGTCCGGTAAATATCACCGCGGGTTCCCGTGTGCCGCCTGCATTGCCGCCACCGACCCCGTTGCCATCAATCGCAAAACCCCTGAGCACAGGAGCCAAAGCCGGTATCGGTGTTGGAGTCAGTCTTGGTGTGATCCTTCTTGCTGTAGCTCTGGCCTGGTTTATCGTTTCAAGACGTAAGAAACGGAAGGCAGAAGCTCTGCAAATGGAGGGACAGAAAAAAGTCGAGAGTGAACCAGGCCAATAATGCAGAGACGAAGGCTCCCATGTTAGATGGCCAGACTCGGTCTGAGTTGTCTGGTTCTGGACGGCGTCCCGAGCTGGATGGGACGGGTTATTCAGAATTGGAAGCCAGTGGCATTAGCGAGTTGGAAGGGAGCTATCCTCACAACTTAAGATGAAATGCTGCAGGGCGTTATTGGCTCATTGGCTATGGTATGACCCTGAAAAGAGTGAAGCTCAATAAAGAAGATACAGCCGGCTGGACCGACTTCATGGAATGCATGTGCAAACTATACCTCCTGAGAACGACATCGAACGCCGGATGGCCGCACTGCATTGATGATCACCACTTCGAAAGGGAATCTACTTTCGGAGATGGGCTCCAATATTGACGCAACCAACGATAAAGGGTGAACGACACTCATGCGCACAGTGAAGGACGCCAACCACCAGATCGTGAGCCTACTCCCAGTGCACTCATGGCGCAGATGTGATTGTATTCTCAATTTATTTACATGATCCATAAACCAGCCTCGGTGGTAGGCACAAGGCCTGAGGCACGTATAATATCTATCTCATTCTACCCATGAGTCTTACGAAGTACTAATAATTGCATGAGCATGACCACGACACTCCCGTCCGCACCCATTGTTATTTCCCCATCATCCTAAGTTAATTATTAATACTACTCCGTAAAAAAATAAGAAATAAAAAAACAACACTCGACGCAGTCCTATTAATTATTCGTGTGCCAAAAAGTTAAAAAAAAAGCTAGGTCCACATGCACAAAAAATGTTTGTCGACAGCGACCGGATTCGAACCGGCGACCCCGTAGGGATCAGATTTCAAGTCTGACGCCTTAACCACTCGGCCACACTGCCAAAATATCATTTTTATCTACTCTTTTTTGATATCTGAAAAAAAGAAAAGGAAAGCAAATGCGGAATTGTATGTATACTGTCCTACTTACTTTCCGTAGGGTTGATTGGTCGAATGACTCTTTACTTTTTCTTTTTTTTTCTGTCGACAGCTTTTGGCATTCCTTACTTTAAAAAGAGAGTGTTTTTTTTTTGAAAGGAAAAGGTAATTTAATTTATAATGTCTAGCATATCAGACCTAGAGATCTCACGGTTCAGACGTAGAAATCGTAAGAACTAAGCATATTATATATAGCCATAGGAAACGCTTATAGGGGCTCCTGGGAAGAGTGGTTACTACAGACATAAATGACTACTACACAGGAATGATGACATTCACAAGTTAAATAACATTACTGACTGTGGATTTCCCTAGAGGAAAAGAAGAGAGAGGGAGAGAGAACTCTTTTAGCAGGGTTTTTTATATTCTTGGTGGTTATTCATCAGATACATCACACAAAGGAAAGGCATATCCTGAAAACATGAGAAACATGAGAAAAAGGTCACTCTGACAACAAAGGAAAAATCGTAAGGAAAAGGATGGTGCATGAAACAAATGAACACAAAAGAAATATGCGTACAGGCGTAAATCTGAACTCCAAACATCTCAAAAAGGGGGCAAAAAAGGACGACACAAGAAATCACTGTAGAAATAGAGGGAAAGAAACAAAAACAAAGGAAATGAATCGACAACGTTCGAAAACATCAGACCGAGGAGACGACATTTGCAAGGGAAAAAAAATCCCTAACTTCTTCCATCACAGTTAAATGAGCAAGAGGAAACCATTTCGTACAAGTATGTACCAGAATCCGTAACCCATTCCCACATTAGAAGTGTATCCATAATTAAAGGTTCTGTAGATAGTTGCTCGGCACCAAGCCCAGACCACTCTTTCCGCCGGTTAGTTCTGCTTCCCACCATCCGTCATCTTGCATTCTCAAAATGGCTAGGATATCGCCTTTAGAAAAGCCCAGTTCCTCGGGAATGGCTGCAGTGTAGCTATACATCGCTCGCGCTGTAGAGAGGCAGTGAGTCAGTGATTCGTCGCTGCTGGTAAAGACCGAAAAAATCACTCTTACCAAAATGCAAAATCGGACGTCCATCGCGGCTGTACTGTCTCTCCGGTTCGGCGACAGCGAGACTTTTGCTCCTTGATCTCGAACCTCCTTCTGGTCCATTGCCATAATACATCGACATGGGCCGGCCGCTGTCTCGCGCTCGGCCGTAGCTATCATAACCTCCTCCATAATGATCCACTTGGCCTCCGGACAGCTGGAGTTCCATTCCCCCTGCACTTGACGGACGGTTCTGCTGCCTGAACTGTGGTTGAGGTGATACAGCTCGGACAACATCGTTTGGCGACCCATGCCTTGAATAGTCCCTAGGAGAATAGCCACGACTACTGCCAGGCCTGGAGTTGGTGGTAGGCGATTGCCGGTAACGACCGTTGTAACTGTTGGATTGATATGAGGTTGGGCTCTGAGCAGCTCCACCACCATTGTAAGGACTCATACGGGTATCCACTCGAGGGGATGGCTGGGGGCTAGCACTTCGCCTCGGGGCAGGGGATCTGGCACGCTGAATGTCTTGAGCTGGCCCATTCCCTCTCGCGTTCATCCGCTGAGTGTCGGAAGGACCCCCAAACATATTCTGGGTTTGACCGACATATTTCTGAGTTGTTTTCTGCATTTGTGCCGACGTAAACGCCGGTTGAGGAGCATCCAATCGTTTAACGGACGCGTCATTGTACGACGGCGGCGGTGTCTTTGCCACTGCACTTGGGTTGTAAGACGAGCCGGTGGTTGACGGTGCTGGGGTTGCAATGCCATGATATCGATCCGCCGAGACACGACTGGCTGATTGCTTTCCCACACCCTTCAAATCTGCAAGTGCACGTGCGATAGGGTCCAGCTCCTCCTCGGCCTCTTTTTTCGACTCAGACTCCTTCTTATCTGGAGATGCCACGTCGAATACATTATTTCCAATGTTGAGCTGGAAATTGGCCCGAGGATCCACGGGTTCAGGGCTTCCAGAATGACGTTCATCTGGAGGTGATGCACCATATGCTGGCTTAGTTGGACTGCGTGAGTTTTGCGGACTCGATGTGGATTGACGATCCTTATCATGCCGGCTCTTGCGTCGGAAAGGGCTGTTGCTGAAGAAGGTACTTCGTTTCTTCTGCACCTGTTTTTCGGGCGACATTCCAGGCATTGCGACTCCGTTAGTTGGCTTTGTCGGGGACTGCTTCCCACTAGGGGGTTCCTGGCTAGAAAACGATGTCGGATTTGAAATATCACTTTGGGAGTCTCGGCTGGAAGGCCTGTATGCACTCGTACCCGAGCTGCGTTCCGAGGGTGGCCCGGTACGACAAAACATTGTCATACCCTCCGTCGGGTACGAGTTGTGAGGCACCGTCCCAATTTCTCCATGTTGACTAGGGTCGTAATTAGGGGGCAGCTGGCCACCGCGACGAAGGTCGAGGGGTGCTGGCTGAACTGGCTGGGCCGGTTGAGGCGGTTGAGCTGGCTGAGCTGGCTGAGCTGGTTGAGGCGGTTGAGCTGGTTGAGCTGGTTGAGGCGGCTGGGCTGGCTGAGCTGGCTGAACTGGCTGAGGTGGTTGAACTGGCTGGGCCTGCTGCGGGCTTGGTTTTTGTGGAGTGCCTGTCGCTTCTCTGCTCTTTGGAGTCGAAGGATTGCCGTGTCCCATCTGCGCAGCCAACTCCGAGCTTGGATCATGATGGGATTCGTAGGTTGACGGCTGCGGCGATGAACTGCGGAATGCAGGATTGATAGCGCGCTGGAACTGTGCCACAGAGTAACCTTCCTCTTCGGAAGCTTCAGAACTCGTATCAACATCGCCGCGACAGAAGTTGATGAACTTCGGAGGGTCTGGTATTTCCTGTCCAGTTCCCTTCTCTTTGATGAAGGTGGCTATGTCTTTTTCCACCTCGCAGTTTTCCAGTGACAGCCGAATCTTCTCACAGGACTATGCCGGTGTTAGTACAAGATCAATAGCCCCAATTGGCATTGACTTACAGCATCATCGCTCACACACACGGTCGAGGAAATATTTGCGTAGCTCCATAGACTACTTTTTGTAAAATCAATTCGCTCTTCCTCCAAGTCTTGAAATTTCTGAGTCATCTGTTAGCTCCAGGTCACCCCATCTTCATCGCGGGGATGTATCTCACATCGCAGGCAGCCTTCCATTCCTTGTTCCACCGCCCAGTCGTCTCCTCAAGAACTTTCACCGCAGCCTCGTACTCAGAACTGTTTGACGCCAGTTGTATTTGGGTCTTCTCAAGTTTCGCCTTGTTCTTGCGTTCCTCCTGGCCCATGACCATGTGGCCTTGAGCCAGGTAACCCTTTATTCGCAAGCAGTCCTGCTCATATCTGTCCCTCGCCTATTTTTGAAATGAACACGTCTTCACTATGGAGACCTGGTATGCTAGTGACATACCTTGTTAACAGCATGAGTCTGTTCATTTTTTTTCTTCAAAAGTCGTTCAATGCCCGACTGGACGATCTTTCGTCTCTCTTTCATACCGCCTGCAAATGCAGCCAGTGGCTCCTCCAGCTCAGTCTTCATCTGTGACGCAATTGCAGAGTGTGCTTTGGCAATAGCCTCTGTTTCTCCACGGACGACATCGAGCGACGCACGAAGCGTACCGGTCTCATTCGACCCTAGAGGCTTGCGACACAAAGCAAGAAGTTTCCTAGCATATTCATCTTCGATCGCAGCTCGAGCTGTGCATTGCCGTCAGTAAGGCCCAGAACACGGTAATGGTACTGACACATACTGCTATAGAAGGCTTTCAATTCATCACACGTTACTTTTGCATTATGCATACGCTCCAACAAGGGAATGACACCGGCATCATCTTTGCCCCAAAAGTTGTTTGCAACTGCAGAGTAACAATTAGCATCTCGAATATTTGTCGTATCGCATGTGAACTTCACGTCTCAACATACAAGAAAGGGCAACCGTGGGCCCATCTCCTGTCCTCCCAGGCATTCTGACTTTGTGCAGTTCGTGACCTAGAGCCTCGGCCAGCGTGTGCTCGAAAACAAGTTGAAGGAGCCTCCTCCGGAGGGAAATGGGGGAGCTAAAAAAAATAAAAGGAGTGAGAATCACCACCTGGAAACTCCGTACAGTGATGAGAAGCTTTCTCAAACCGAAGAGTTTAAGGATCGGGTGGAGTTGATAGCAATGGAATGGAAACCGGGGAGAGCAGGTTCCATGTTTACGATCGGCGTTACACGGGGCAACCGCCTCGCGCTGTTGGAGGGCCTTCCTAAGGCAACCAATCAGACCGCTCTCCGCCGAAGCCCACTCCTTGGGCTTCGTCTCGACCCCGCCATGCCGAAAGGCCCCTTTGACTTGGGGACTCTGAAAGTGGTTTCAGAACAACTACTAACTCCCTGTCATCAATGTAGAGTACGTAATTAATTGGCTATTGGCTACTCAAGGCCAGCTACTTAACCTTGTGTCCATACTCGCTACGATTTCGGGCCAGACGTGATATATTTAGCGTCCGTCATCGACGCGCGAGTCCCAATGTCGATGGCTCTAGCAGGCTTTTTTGATTTGTGCAGCATTCCTAGGACAGTACGGAGTACTGTGAATATGGCAATCTATCAAGGCTCTGCATATACAGAGGGACTTCTGAGAACAGTTACTCCCCTCATTCTACTAGATTGTATTCCCTTACTATCGTCTACTAGACCGCGGACAAGAGAGAATGATGGAATCTTCCTATGTTCACTGATCTCTCTCTACTTTATATAAGGTGCTGAGAGTTCCCATCCTTACCCGATGCATGAGTCTGCTCCATTGTGAAGTCTTGTTCGTAGAAGTAGTCAGTCACTGGGCACCAATACATGGCACGTGACTGATGTTAGCGCCACATCGCCAACCGCAATTTGTTGTCCACGATATGTTGTCTATGAGCGTAGAACAGCGTGCATCACCTGAGCAAAGCAGTCAGAGACTTTTACTTCTGAATCTATTAGCTCTATGCAGACAAGCATCAGCAGCATCACCTGAGATCTTCAAAGTCGTGTAGAGAGACGCGTTGTGGCGCAGGTGTGGCGCACCAGCATTCGCGAAGACGAGCCGCAAGAGCTTCAAGCCCATTCGGGCTAGCGTGGACGACACTCCACCTGGCCAACCAACCCATCTTCTCACCTCTTCACCAGTTCCCTTGAAGAACTTCATCCAGCTCATCAAAATTCATTCACCTCATCCACCATCCGCTCCATCCCCTTTCGCTTCCCACGCAGAATCGTGCTGATCCTAAATTTGAGTTTCCTTCTCCTCAGATCTGCTGGATCGGCCATCGTTCATCATCGATCAAACTCTGTCGAACAACGGTGGATCAAATGATCGCGTCTCCTAGATGACATTCCCTCCCCCTCCCCCTTCCGCCCAATCATCGATTGCTTCTGGCACTGAGAAGTCTTCTTCCTCGAGGTCTTCAAGATCTCAACAGTCAGTCTGGGGTTCTCCTGCTCCCCAGTCGGGTCTACGTCGTGGGTTGACTCCGCTCGCGACCAGCAACCTTTCATCTTCGTCGACTGCCGCAGCGCCTTCCCGCAGGCCGCCCCAGTCGAGCAGTCCCGGTCCGGGCATCTCGACATCATCTCCTCTGACCTCGACTTTCTCCGCCGTTCTGACTTCCTCCAGCCGCCTCTCAGGTGGCCGCAAGCCCCCGTCGCCGGCTTCCACGCCGTCGCCTTTTAGCTCGTTCCAGCAACCTGGCTCGCAACAGCCGTCGCAGCCCGGACAGTCTCTCTCATCTCCCAAGTCCAGGGCCCATACTCCGTCCTCGGGTTCTCACCTGGCTTCCACAGCGGGCTCCGTCGCGGGAGGAGGAGGCAGTGGGGGAGGAGGTGGTGGGCCGGGTTCCTCTAGAGGGGTCGCCTTCTCTCCACTGTCATCTGGTACAACGATAAACTCTCCGACCGGTTTCTCTTCTGACAAACCGGGATCAGCGACGTCGGGTTCAGGCAACGCAAACCAGTCATCACTGGCAAAAATTTCCATTGCACAAGTCTTTCTCTTACTCGATTCTATTTCGGATAAGGAAGGGAAAGAGAAGTGGGAGACAAAGGCCGCACAGATTCAGAAGGTAATTTTTTCCCCTCCAAAAAAAGTAAAATAAGCCAATTTGTGAAAAACAGTATTACTGACCCATGGTCTTTGACCTTTAGCTTGTTGAATCCAACGGAATGGAAGTGTTCTCAAAGTATTTCCGCCGCCTTCTCACCGGCAACGCTCCTCAAATTTTTCCCGGCATGAACAAGGTCGTGGAAAATGCGGGGAATTATCCTCTTCTCGTTCAAGAGATGCAAAAAGTCTCTCAAGACCTAGATCAGGCGCAAAAGATTGCGGAGACTATCGATACTTCGGAGGGTGACATCTTTCGTGACTTTGATCTTTCCACCTTTCTTGACCACTTCAAGCTCGACCCCTTGATCAAAGTCTCTCTGGCTCTCGCATTCAAAACTGCCAATAAATCCGATTTGCGTGCGAAAGGTGAGCATCTGTCGATGGAGCTCGCAAACTTCTTGAGCCTGTTGGCACCTTTGCTAACTCTTCCCAGCGGACGCAATCTTGACAAACAGCGTTACCCCATTCCTGCAGAGTCTTGCGAATCCGACCGAATCAAACAAGGACTTTAGCGCTTCTTTCTTAGGCCTGACGATCGAACGCTTCATCCTATATCCACCGCGCAACTTCAACGATGAGGTGAAAGAAGGATTATTCTATTCGGCCAGGATGCGGTATCAGAAGTTAGGAGTTGACCTTCCTTCGGAGATCGCCTCTGCGTTGCAGATGTTCAACTTCAACAACCCTCGTCTGGTCCTTGTGCGACAACTTCATCTGAAGGGGCCAAAGGCCACTGCGACTCAGGAGGCTGTGAACGAAGTCATGAACTCGGCTGGGCCAGAAAGCTGGAGCGAGGAACATATTGGAAATGCTCTCCTCTTTATGGCATCGTCGCAGTATTCGCGACAATACTCTCTTGAAGTGTTCCTCAAAGCTGTCCGGGCACACTATGGAGACAAGCCGATCAACTGGTCTCTGCTTTTCCGAACCTTTGATCGCGAAGAGCTGAGGATAACTCCAGAACAGTTTAGCATACTGTACACAGCGCTCCTTGGTGTGGCAGCTGAAGACTCCAGCTTAGACGTCCAGAAACTATGGGGCGGTAACTGGGAGCATCGGGACACTCAGCTCTCATTCTTAGCAGCCTTCATTTCTTCACGAGTCGATCCATCACAAATCCCTAACTTTAGGGCAACGTTCGCCGCCGATCTGTTTGATGATGGCCCAGAAGCAGTGCGCATGCAGGCCGAACTAGCGAAGAAGTCGCCACTGCGGTCTCTGGACGCTATGAAAGCGATCTTTGATCTTGCTCTGTATTCGCAAGCTTCCTGGGCATCAACAGACAGCCAGCTGCTGATAAAAACCGTCGTCCAACATGATCTTCCGGTCTTTCTGATTTCGAGTCTGTCGCTCCCGCCGCCTTGGACCCCCGTTCAACAAAGCTTTGTCCTTCGCACCCTTGTTGTCTTCATTTTGAAACAAGAGGAAGGCCACGAGCTCGCCCTTTACGGGGTTTGGAAAAAGGATCGTCAATGGCTCGCGGAACAGCTCTTTACCGTGTTCACTCAAGACCCGACCACCACTGCAGCAATCTATGAACATGCTGTCGAGAAGGAATGGCTGGAGTACCTCTTGAGCTATACCAATGGCCTCGCGTTGGATCTCGCTTCCTTGGCCCATCGTAAAGAAAACTTCGATCTTGAGCAATGGGTTCGAAATGCTGCTCAAAAGGCCCCAATGGATATGGGCAATCTACTGTCGAAATTCCTGAGGATCAAAGCCGAAGATGAACTCCACGTGCAAAGGAAAGAACAGGCTGCTCCGCAGATGGTTTGCCTAGCGGTGAAGACGGTCTATACTCTGCTGTCACTCTTGGAAGAGTATGTCAGCGACCGTGAAACTCTCACTTCCGTTCAGCGCATTTGCGTTCAAACCTATCCTCGACTCATTAATTACGGCGAGGGATTTGACGACATCATCGATGCCAACGGCGAGAACGGAAACGCCATACCTGAGGCGATCGACAAGCAAATGCAGGAACTATTCGGCAAGATGTACCATGAGGAGCTCTCTTTGCGTGAAATCCTGGAGTTGATGAGACGATACAAGACATCTCGTGATCCCGCCGAACAAGACCTGTTTACTTGCATGGTTCACGGCCTTATTGATGAATACCATTGCTATCACGAGTACCCGTTAGAGGCCCTGACCAAAACAGCGGTCATGTTTGGTGGCATAATCAATTTCAGGTTAATCGACGGTATTCCGCTCAAGGTTGGCCTGGGCATGATCTTGGAAGCGGTGCGAGATCACGAGCCGCATGACCCTATGTATAAGTTTGGTGTGGAAGCGATCGAGCAACTTCTGAGTCGCCTTCCAGAATGGCCCGGGTTCTGTCACCTTCTCCTACAAATACCGACTCTTCAAGGCACAACCATATCCCAGAAGGCCGAGGAAGTCATGAGAGAACAGGGCCACCAGGCAGCAGGTGAGACGGAGACAGCGAGATTGAACGGGACTTCAGAAGGACAGGCTATGACAAACGGCAACGTAGATGAATCCGCTTCTCGCGTGTTCCGCTCATTACATGTTGATCCTCCACTGCGTCCCGATATTTACCAAGACCCGTCCGAGGAAATCCAAGACAAGATCCTTTTTGTCTTGAATAACGTATCAGAACAGAACATTGAAGAGAAGTTGCGAGATTTGAAAGAGGTGCTTCGGGATGAGCATCATCAATGGTTCGCTTCTTATCTCGTTGAAGAACGGGCCAAACTGCAGCCGAACTTTCAGCAACTCTACCTCGATCTCTTGGAGCTTCTCGGCGACAAGATGCTATGGGCAGAGGTTCTCCGAGAAACGTATGTTAGTGCGATCCGGCTGTTGAACGCTGAGTCGACTATGAACTCGTCTACTGAGCGCAGTCACCTCAAAAATCTTGGGGCTTGGCTCGGATCCTTGACAATCGCGAAAGACAAGCCCATCAAGCATAAGAACATCTATTTCAAGGAACTTCTCATCGAAGGATACGATAGCCAGCGTCTCATGGTAGTGATCCCGTTCACATGCAAAGTGTTGCTGCAGGCCGCCAAGTCGACCGTCTTCAAACCGCCAAATCCCTGGTTAATGGACATCTTGGCCGTGCTAATCGAGCTTTATCATTTTGCCGAGTTGAAATTGAATCTCAAATTCGAGATAGAAGTCCTCTGCAAGGACCTTGAGCTCGACCACAAGACTATTGAACCTTCATCTATTATTCGAGATCGTTCCCAGCAAGGTGGCGAAGATGGGATCACAGCAAATGTTCCTGAAGGTTTGGAAGGGTTTGAAGACATGTCCCTGGCGAGCATCAACCAGGGCATGCGCACTGAGAGGTTATCTCCTGCTGCGATCATGTCAACACTTCCAAGCCTGGATAAAATCCTCGTCTTCCCATCTTCTGCGAGCAGTATGATTGATCCGAATATTCTCCGACAAATCGTTCATACTGCTGTTGAACGCGCCATTGCAGAGATAATAACCCCGGTTGTGGAACGTTCAATCACCATTGCTTCGATCTCAACGGCTCAGCTGGTTTCAAAAGATTTTGCGATGGAACCTGACGAAGAGAAAGTGCGTCACGCTGCCCGCACAATGGTCCGACAGCTCGCCGGCAGCTTGGCTCTGGTGACTTGCAAAGAGCCCCTGAAAATGAGTATGACAAACTACATCCGGATGATTCAACAAGAATACTCTGATCAACCGATGCCGGAGGGGTTGATTCTAATGTGTGTTAATGATAACCTTGACGCTGCTTGTGGGATTGTTGAGAAGGCCGCCGAAGAGAGGTCTATCCCCGAAATAGAGAAGGTCATCGAGCCTCAACTCGAAGCCCGCCGTCGCCACCGAGCAACCCGTCCAAACGAACCGTTCATTGATCCGTCTATGAATCGATGGGGCCTGTTTATTCCCGAGCCGTATCGACAGGTTCCTGGCGGATTGAATAAAGAACAACTTGCGATATATGAGGAGTTTGCTCGGCAAACAAGGGGTCCAGGGTCGAGTCATGTTCAAAATGTTTCAACTGACTCTGGTAGGCAGCTGCCTGATGTGCTTCAAGAATCCTACCCGGCAATTCCGAACCTCTCGACTCCCGCAGAGCAGCCCGCTGTTCCGCACCAGACTCCCCAACATCAACAAGATGCTCGTTTGCAGCAGGCCTCTGCTGTCAACGCGCAGCCGCAGTTGAACGGCTTCCTCGAGCAGAGTCCCAGAGAAAAGGTTGAGAGTCTTGTGTCCGCGCTTCAGCGAGACGCTCGAAGCGCCCCTGAGGAACACATCAAAGACCTTGGCCGGGACAGTGCTGTACTGCAAGACTATAACCAGATCCTGCGAACTATCCTCTCCTCTCCGAATGGCGAAGACTTGGCAAGGTTGACATGCCTCAAAATATGCACGAGCCTCTACTCTCAAACGGAACGCTCTCTGGAAATCGAAATCCTCGTTCATCTATTGGCGAAGATTTGCGATATGTCATCAATAGTGGCGAGATACACTTGGGCAATTCTCTCCGAGGTCGATGACGAGCACATGTTCAATGTTCCGGTCACTGTTGCCCTCATCGATGCGGGCTTGCTGGATCTTCGTCGCGTCGATATGATTCTGACTAAGTTGATACTCCAAAAGAACACGAGTGCGCTGGACCTTCTTGCCAACCTCTTGGACCGTGTCCTATTCAACGACGAACCGTCTGCGCTGAGATCTGATTTCTCCGGCAGTCTCGAGGCCATGAACCAGTGGCTCGTTGAAGATCCAAGCCTGTCGGTCGCGGCCGATATCGTTCGCAAGCTGCGTGAATCTGGCGTTCCAGAGGTTGTTAACCCGCTCCTTAGTGACAAAGCAAGGTCCAAGCGTGATCAGATGGAGTACATATTCAGCGAGTGGATTGGAGTTTACAAGTTTCCAGGTGCAACCGACCGCACTTACTATACTTTCCTCAAAGATATGCACCAGCGGCAGGTGATGAACAACCAGGAAGATTCAGCTCTGTTCTTCAGACTCAGCATTGACATTTCCGTCGCAATGTTTGAACATGAGTCTCAGAATCCTAACGGCAGTCTGGACGAAGCCTTCCTATATATAGATGCGCTTGCAAAACTGGTTGTCTTGCTGGTCAAATTCCAAGGCGAGAGCACTGGTGCGGTCAAGGTCAGCAAATCCGCGTATCTGAATTCTATCCTCTCGCTGCTGGTGCTAGTCCTGAACCACCATCATGTCATGAGGGGAGAGGCCTTCAATCAACGAGTCTTCTTCAGGCTGTTCTCAAGCATCCTCTGCGAGTACGCCCTGTCCGGGCTCCAACAGAGTGATCAGCACCAGGACATGATGTTTGCTTTCGCCAACAAGTTCCTGTCACTCCAGCCCAAATACATTCCCGGTTTCGTGTACGGATGGTTGTCACTGGTGTCTCACCGGGTGTTCATGTCCGGCATGCTCAATATGCCTAATGAAGCGGTAAGTTTAGGACTTCTGTTGAGAAATAATGTACGTCGCTGACCACAGTCCAGGGTTGGGGTCTTTATTGCGAGATCATGCAAGCTATGCTCTCGTATATTGGAGAACAGTTGAAGCCGGGAACTGTCTCATACGTTGCCAAGGATCTCTATAAGGGAGTTCTCCGGATTCTGCTGATCTTGCACCACGACTTCCCGGAATTTGTGGCAGAGAACCATTTCCAATTCTGCAACGTCATTCCTGCGCATTGTGCCCAGCTAAGGAATCTTGTCCTCAGCGCTTATCCTTCATCTTTCCACAAGCTGCCAGACCCTTTCAGGGAAGGCCTCAAGGTTGAGCGGCTCGAGGAGATGCGTGAGGCGCCGAAAATTGCTGGAGACATTGTGGCCCCTCTTCAGAAGGCGAATATCAAAAACGCCGTCGATACGGCATTGCAGAGCAACACGGCAAGCGAGGCAGCTATCCAAACAATATGCGAGGCCATCTACAACCCGAGCAGTAAAGACACCGGTCTCTTCTTAACGCCGATAAATGTTGATGTTGTTCTCGTGAACGCGCTCGTTCTGTACATCGGCCAACAGGCTGTCTCCGCGGCTGCCGCCAAAGGTAGCACTCGAGCTGCTTTCGAAGATTCTCCACACACTGCCTTGCTCGGGAGACTGGCAAAAGCCCTCCGTCCAGAGGGGCGTTACTATCTGCTGAGCGCTATGGCGAATCAACTGCGATACCCTAATAGTCATACTTATTATTTCAGCTTTGCCATCCTTCAACTGTTCGGGGTTGATTACTCTGAGCAGCAAGATTCGGACATTCGCCAGCAGATCATCCGAGTGCTTCTCGAACGACTTATTGTTCATCGTCCGCACCCATGGGGCCTGATTATCACCCTCCAGGAACTTCTGCAAAATAGGAGCTACACGTTCTTCCGCCTGCCTTTCATTCAGGCAGCACCCGAGGTGAGTTTCTAGAACTCCTTTTTGAAGCAAAGATACTAACGACTCGCAGATTGGCCGTCTCTTTGACGCCCTTCTTCAACATATCCAGCAACAAAGCCCCAGGGCTCTTTCGTAGGTGATGACCTGACGACGATTTCCTTCCAGTTCATATCTGGCGTTTTTCTCGTGTGGTGTTTCAGATCCATTATTATTATCTTTTTTGCCTCATTGTCATCTTGAGGACGGTTCTACAGCAGGGAAGGAACAAGCATGTTGCGAGGTGATATGAACGGCCTGAGGCGACGTGCAGTCTTTCATGCTTTCTGTCCTATATTTCTTGGGAGTTTCTACGTCAACTGGGTTATGGGGGGGCGCAGCAAAAAAAAATTGTAAAAGTGCATAGGTGTCATGTTTCTGTATTGAATGTATAGTAACGAAATGAAATTTATGCGTGTCTGAGGGTTGATTAGTTGATACCATGTCTACGTATACTCCAGTCAGATTGGCTTCGACGTAGTCGCCCTAACAGGCTTAGTGTATGCCCAGCTGGAAGTGACATCACAACCTTCCGAGCGCGTGTCACGAGCTTCCCGAACGCGCTCTCCGACAGCAATCTGCGTGGTTGCTGACAGAGAGAAGGGAATCCAGAATGGATCAGAAAGAAGATTCTACAGACGACTTAGACTATGATGTCTCTCCGATCTCAACAGAGGTGGTAGTGAGGCCCCACTCCCGTTATTCACGTTTCAACTGACCGCAAGCACTGCAGGATGCCTTCACTGCACCGCTCCGCGCCTTAATCTCGACGAAAGCACAAAAGGCGTACCTAGGAACATTACTCTTTGTCGGAACATCTATATTGCTGTTTAGTGTTGCCACAGTTGCGTACTGGATTTTTTACTTCAATTTCGTACCGCAGGTTGGACTCGAGCGCGTTGTGCACTTACAATTCGGGTATGTGACTGGTAGCGAGAACACTGGCATTGCGTGTAAGACGGACTGAGGAACAAAGCGCGATGCTAATTCCACCATTTGGCAGTGATGGAAACCCCTGGGGAACTGCTTCTCTGGGTTCAGAGTTGGCCTCCCATCAGCCCTACGACGTGAGCGTAACGTTGCAGCTGCCTCGCACACCTTCCAACCTTGCCGCTGGCAACTTCATGCTCGACTTGTCTTTGTTTTCCCGCCCGTCAAGTTCTATCATTACCGGAACCAACACGTCCACGAGCCTGATAGCGCATTCCCGACGGCCTGCGATATTGACTTATGCATCTCCGATTGTGGATACAGCCTATAAGGTTTCTCGCATGCCGCTTTACCTACTTGGTTGGCAGCGAGAGGCAGAAACTTTGGAAGTAAATATGATGGAATCGGTCGAGTTTGCCAGAGGCTGGCGCAACTTGCCCGGTAGCTTGAGACTCGAGATTCAAAGCAGAGAACAGATGCAAGTATACAGTGCCATTGTGAAGTTCAAGGCAAATTTTACAGGGCTACGGTTCGTGTTTCTGGTTTACTCTGCTTTCAAAGGTGTTTCACTAATGGGTGACCAGATGGATTATGTACAACTGGAGGATACTGTCATTCATCGTATTCACGTCCATGTTTTGGGGGGTATCAATGGTGTCCACTAGTGTCGCCTGGCTGTTGTTGTCTTCGTATCTTAGCCCCAACAACAGCCAGAGTGAACAGCCCATAAAGAGGGAGGATTCCGGTGAAGATGATGGCCATGGCGAGTCCGAGGAAGAATCAGCCGATCCCTTCTCTGGAGACTTGTCTGATAACCAGCGCATCCTCCCAACTGTTCCACGGCAGATGCCACAGGGATATCCAGGACGCGCGAAAAGTGAAGACGAGGGCATAATTAAGCAGGAGGAAATCGAGGGATCATCTGCCATTTCTCCTCTCGCAGGGGAAGCCGATGATGAAGCCGAGCAGGTGGAAGCTATGGGAGCTGCCGGCAATTTTGATTCGGGCATCGGTACCGGCCTGGACAGTGGGAGTACCGGTGTCCAGCGCCGCAGGAGTCGTTTATTTGACGACCGTAGTCATGATGCCCAGGAAGATTAAGTGACGAATTCTAGTTTCAGCCCTACCAATAGCGCAGAGCAACTGTGCGTTTTCACGATGCGAGATACCCGATTACTAGTTCAATGTACTGTACTGTACAAAGACAACTCTTTTGGGCACTCTGAATTGTATACATAATTGAACCTTTTTTCCTATTTTTTTTTCCCGATTCCCTAGCTCTCTCCAATTGGTTGTTCTGCTGGTACTGGCCTGTCGTCGTTCAATCGCTGCCCCTCATTCTTGGGTTGGGCTTCGAACTAGAGGATCTGGAACCTGTCCGGTAATGCAAGGAAGCCCATTTTGCACCAAATTCGCGGCAATGAACTATTGACGAAGGTGCTAGCCCAGTGGGAGCATCAATCTCCAATAGTGCTTATTTTTTGCACGTCAGTAGCGGGAACACCTTTCTGTGGGCTCTGATATATAAAAGGCGGATCCGTTCCGCCTCTATCGACTGATATGCGCTGTAAGATTTGGAGTGGGGAAAACTTCCGCTCAACTTCCTGACAGACTTGCGAGCGCTTCTCATATTGAACCTCACATTGCAATGCACATTCTGGTAAGTTGTATTGCAGGTAGCAAGATTTGTCTATAACTTGTCTATGGAATTGCTGTCTCTGCGAGATGCCACATGCGATATTCCTGCCGTATCAAGCCCCTCACTGACTGGGTTCCCCTCCCTCTCTTGCACTGCACATAGGTTACGAACGACGACGGGCCTCCGTCGAATCAGTCTTCCCCCTATGTCCACTCCCTTGTCCATACCCTTCAATCCGCTGGACATATTGTCTCCGTCGTCCTTCCTCACCAGCAGCGGTCATGGATCGGCAAGGCGCACATCGTCGGCGCCTCTGTGAAACCAACCTACTTCCGCCCGGGCACACTACACAAGGACGACGGCACCATCCACCCCCTGCCACGGGGCAGCCACAGTGACGATGACGAGGATGGTGATGAATGGGTTCTCATCGATTCCACCCCTGCCAGCTGTGTGCAGATTGGACTGTATCATTACTTTCAAGACCGAGGACCGGTCGACCTGGTGGTCTCGGGCCCGAACTATGGACGCAACACGACAGCTCTCTTCTCGCTATCAAGTGGGACCATTGGTGCTGCCCTCGAGGCTGCAGTATGCGGCAAAAAGGCTATTGCGCTATCCTACGCTTTCAGCACTCGGAGCCATGACCCGGTTGTCATCGCGGAAGCCTCCCGTCACTCGGTGCGGCTGATCCAGTACCTCTACGATAACTGGGCCGATGGTGTGGACCTGTACACGATAAATGTGCCTCTGGAGCCTGGCGTTAGTGAGAATAAAATCTTATATACCCATATGCTTGACAATCGGTGGACTTCTGGTAGCTGCTTCGAAGCTGTTGACGCCGAAGTGTCTGGCGAAGACCCCGCGTTGCAAGAGAAGAAACTGCGACAACATGGCGAAGGTGAGTTGGGCGCAGTGAATGGTTCTTCCGAGAAGGAAACGCCCAAGAGGAAGCCAAGGCTGCAGCACAAGCACTTCAAATGGGCCCCCAAGTTTAATGACGTATATCGGAGTGTGGAGGAGAGCGCTCCCGGAAACGATGGCTGGGCTGTCAAGGAAGGAATGACAAGGTATGCATCCGTAGCCCTTGTCGGGAATTGTCCGATCTTAAGACTTCCCATGGATAGATGAGACTGACTTGACTGCCAGTGTTACCCCTCTCAAGGCGAATTTCATGCACGCACCTGGAATTCAGGGAGAGATAAAGCTGTGAGTGGAATGAGAATGGCGAGCTTGGAAGAAATTCCCTTTAGCATATATACTCTTCGCAGCATAGATCTCTAGAGACTAATATCGATATCACTCTTATTGTTTTCGTCTCTCGCCTGTGTTCCATCTGTTCCGAGATCATTCTGATACCTTCCTTTGCATCCAGGTTAAATAATAAGCCGGAGTTCTACTACCTCATCAACTACGAGGATGAATATGTCCAGCCACTTCTGGAACAAGCCTTGCAGTCGTCTCTAAAAGGAGTCCACTGTACTGCGATTGCCTCGATGTCTGAACTTCCGGATCCCTCGGTTCCCGTGCTCCAGTATCGTGCGTACGAGAAGCTTGATTTCGACCATGTTCTGTCGCATCCGTCGACATCCCTGGCAAACTCATATGTTATTCGCAAGGCTCTCATCCGCAAGCATTATCTCTCCACCACCGTGTCCAATTGGATCTCCAAGTACCCGGACAGCATCCTGCGAAATCATTTCAAGCCCGCAGTCGACTTTGAGCTGGACTATGCAGAGTTTCTCGACGAGGCGCTGATGGAGGCGTATGAACTACGTGAGAGTTTGGAGAATAACAATACGAAGCCTGAGTCCGAGAAAGAATGGTGGATTCTAAAGCCGGGGATGAGTGATCGTGGACAAGGGATCCGCCTCTTCAACAGCGAATCTCAGCTCCAGGAGATCTTCGAAGAATGGGAGGTTGATGAGTCTGACCTGGAGAATGACGATGGGGATGAACCGCACACCTCTTCCGGTCCAAGCTTAAAGGAGAAAAATGAGCAAGGAGTGGTGACCTCGCAGCTTCGACATTTCATTGCGCAGCCATATATTGACCCGCCCCTTCTCTTGCCATCGTCTTCAGGCCGAAAGTTCCATATTCGTACTTACGTACTTGCTGTGGGCTCCCTGAAAGTCTACGTTTTTAGAGAGATGCTAGCCCTCTTTGCGGGGAAACCATATCGAGCTCCCTGGGAAGAAACTGACGAATTGCGAGACCTGTCAAGACATCTAACCAATACCTGTCTTCAGGAAGGCGGCAGTTCCAATGAGGGAAGTGTCAGACGGTATTGGACTCTGGACGATTCTGTCCCGGGACTGGCTGCCGGATGGAAAGACCGGGTATTCGACCAGATATGTGCGGTTACTGGCGAGGTGTTCAACGCTGCTGCCCAGGGCATGCTTGTGCATTTCCAGACCATTCCAAATGCTTTCGAACTTTTCGGGCTCGATTTCCTGGTCGACTCGGCAGGCACTGTATGGCTTCTTGAGGTAAACGCCTTCCCAGATTTTGGGCAGACCGGTGAGGAACTCAAACGGGTCGTGGTTGGCCGCCTCTTCGAAGCTGTCATGGAGGTGGCTGTAAAGCCCTTCTTTAAAATCTCTGGGGCGCAGGGAGAGGACAGAGACCTGAGGCTCGTGACCGATTTGGATCTCGGCAGAAATTACCAAGAGTAATTATTGATAATATCAGGCAGTCAGGGTCTATCCACAAATGACTTCACGCCACAAAGTCATTAGGCAAGAAGCATTCAACCGGGCGTTAGGTATCTATGTTCTCTTTGGGTCTTGAAGAACAGAATCCTCGTTCAGACTAAGTACGATCTGGAAACTTAGTGGGAAATTTAGACGGTAGCTCTAGAATATTAGCATTAGTATTTGACAACCACAGGTGCGAGTTGCAGTCGGTGGTACAGGGACAGATGACTTGGACTTTTTCTCAATCACTGCCCCATTAGACTATTTCCAGCACACTACTGCATCTTACAGTACATCTTACAGTATTGACATCGTACCTCAGCTCAACGACTGTCAATTATCAAACGAATAGAATTCCCTCCACACTTAGAGCTCTCAATTCGGCAATAGGTATCTCACTTGCCCTGATAAAAAGTTGAGCCTCATGTCTGTACATTTGATCATTTGTCCTGAAGAACGACACCAGCAGCCACATCCTCAGCCGTGATCCTTGTAATTCGTGTGAAACAAGATTATGCAGATTACTCCGTACAAAGTCGACTGCTGGTTGCTTCGCCTATGCACGGAGCCGCTCGAGTGAGGCTCATGAATTGCAATTGACGTATCAAAACCATTCCTAGTTTTCGTAGAGAACAATCACATCAAGGACATGGATTCCTCGCTCCGCTTTTTAAAATGCAGAAGACCTATTAACGGTTGTCCACAACGGACAACAGTCACACAGCAGCTTAGTGAAGTACAGACATCAAAGTTGCCGGCTTCTCAGTCATGACTGAGAGGCAAGGGTAATGAGAACTTTCAACAGAGCCTCAAAATCTCCTAGTTACAGATCGAAACAAGAAAAATAGACTTTCTTCCTCAGATCTAGCGTAGCCTTGCTGGAGTCATGCCTGCCAGATGTAAGACAGGTCCCCGGCGCCTTCCTGTTTGGTAAATGCTTGAGAATGGAAAGCGGTTGGAATCGTCTTCTGTTTTCCACAGAGAACTTTTCTTCCTCCAAAGAAAGACGGGAAATCGACGGTCGAATCTCAGTTACCAGCAAGACTCTAGAGTTTGTCAGTTTGTGTGACCATCAGTCCTTTTGTCTGAAGTGGCTACAAGTTGACGAGTCAAACCTCTCCCCTTCCTCGCCCCCATTGCAAGCTCAATGTTGTCCGCAGAGTCAGGCAGAGGTGTCTCTTTTGCCATTTGGTGGCTTCATTCCTTTCTGCCTCTTAGTGCTGCTCTTTACTACTTTATTGCGTCCATCATTCATGCCGCATTTGCAAAGGACCAGAATCATCCGCCGGGTCAACGGTTTCTTCGAAATGCCACATTATTGCTGAAGATTATTGTTCTAATAACATACGTGAGATTTTCCCGCTTCCCCCTTTCTCTCTGCATACTAGTTCGATATTCGAATCACTGATACTAGCTCACCGGATCTGATCCTGCAGGGCGTCGATGCAATCACCCTGGTCCAAGCAAATTTCGACGAGAAGCAACATATTCAGCAAGATAGCATTGTAAGCTCCTATGCAACGGCGAGTTCCGCTTTCCGCACGTAGCTAACGGAGATCGATGATGGCAGGTCTTCGCGGTGGGATCCCTGCTGCTATGGGTCGTGTTGCTTCTCCGCTTCAACGACTCCCTCCGCCCCTTTGGTCACCCATTCTGGGGATGTTGGGCTCTTTATCTGGTGGCAGAGAGCTTCCTAGCCGCCGTTTGTGCTTCCTCTCGGACGGTCGATGCATGTTACAGTCTATCCCGTTTTGGGATCCATGTCCTTCGCTTGTCCATACATTTCTCCTGTGCTGCATCCCAGCAATGCGAGGATGCTATGTTAGACTGGCTCGCAACAGAAGGACTGATTTCGACGAAGAGCGTGCTCTTCTATTAAGCCAAGAGACCTGCCACGACGATCAATCTGGTGGAAACATAAATTACTTGACCATAGGACATGACCAGTCACCTTCGGGCAACACTGAAACCAAGAGAAGAAAGAGCGGATTCCTTGAGTCTTTGGATACCGTTAGAGTATGTTCAGAACACCTTTTTCGTCTCATCTTCAACTTCACAGGTTACATACAAGGACACCACTAATCCATCTACAGTATCTCATCCCTTTCCTGTGGCCTAAAGGCAAATTCCATCTACAGCTTCTATATATTGGAGTCGGTCTGTGTCTTGTTATGGATCGTGTACTCAATGTGCTAGTCCCGCTGCAGCTCGGAGTGATCACGGATGTTCTTAGCAAAGGAGACGGTAAGAACTGTCCCCTGAAAAACCTTCAGCAACTACCGAGCTTATCTTTGCTTCCTGTCTCATGATGTTAACATTTTTCAATAGGAAGGCCTCCTTGGAAGGAGATCATGATCTTCATTGGTCTTCGGCTGCTTGATTCAAGCGGCGGTGTTTCAGCTATCCGAAGATATATGTGGCTGCCTTTGGAGAACTATTCGTACCAGAAAATCACCACGGCGGCATTCAACCAGATCATGGATCTGTCAAGCGACTTTCATGATAACAAACGTTCTGGAAGTTTATGGCAATCAGTCGGCCGTGGTTCGTCTGTCCGACACATCATGCGTTCTGTTCTCTTCCAAATTGGGCCCATGCTGGCGGATTTGTTTCTGGCAGTCAGCGTGCTTTACTTTCTTTTCGGTGCATATATGGGGCTAATTACTGCGGCTGTCATAATCGTTTTCTTGTGGTCGTCAGGAAAAATCTTATCCAAGCAGAAGGACAAGCGGAGGCAGTGGATATCCGACATGGAGCAAGAGCACAACATCCTGTGCGAATCAACGACCAATTGGCAGACAGTTTCTTATTTCAACCGCATTCCCTACGAGAAGTCTCGCTTCTCTTCCGCAGTGAGAGACCACATGAGGTCCTCGATTTCGTTCAAGCTGTGGTCTCACCTCGAATCCATGGTGCAGTCTACTCTCCTGGTTGCTGGACTGATGGGGGCGTGTTCTTTAGCTGCGTATCAAGTTGTGCAGGGCAATAAGCCCGTTGGAAGCTTTGTTATGTTGCTAGGCTATTGGGCTCAGTTATCCAGCCCACTCCAGTTTTTTGCAAGTGGGTTCTGTGATATTGCCCTTGACCTGGTCAATGCCGAAGACCTGGTTGCGCTTCTCAAAAGGAAACCAGCGATTAGAGATCGGGACGGTGCGAGGCCCTTGAAACTGAACAAAGGGGAAATTCAATTTGATGGAGTGAGGTTCTCATACGATGGTAGACGGGAAGTATTGAAAGGTATCGGTTTCGAGGCTCTAACAGGGCAAACGGTAGCCTTGGTTGGAGAAACCGGAGGCGGCAAGTCTACGATTCTGAAACTCCTCTTCCGTTTCTATGACCCAGCTCAGGGTTCGATCAAAATTGACGGTCAGGATATTCGTAATGTCACTCTGGAGAGCCTCCGAGCCAACATTGGAGTTGTTCCTCAGGATCCAGCTCTATTCAATGATTCTATCATGAACAATATCAGGTATGCCAAGTCTTCGGCAACAGATGAGGAGATATATGAGGCATGCAAGGCTGTCACACTTCATGAAAAGTTTTTGAATCTTCCAGATGGATATCAGACATTGGTTGGCGAACGAGGAATAAAGTTATCCGGCGGAGAGCTCCAACGGGTTGCCATAGCTCGAGCGATTATCAAAGATCCCAAAATCGTGCTTCTGGATGAAGCTACGAGCAGCGTGGACAGCAACACTGAGTCACAAATCCAGCAGAGTCTAAAGACTCTCACTTCTGGGCGAACAACTATTGTTATTGCGTATGTTTCCCCCAAATTGCTTTCTTGATCTACCTAGTTGACCGCATAGGAAGGCACCGGCTGTCCACGATAATCAACGCAGACAACATCCTCGTTGTACGAGACGGTAGCATTATTGAACAAGGCACCCACCAGGAGCTCGTGAAACTCAACGGTTATTATCATTCTTTGTGGTCGCGACAGGCTAGTTTTGAGTCTGCGAGTCCTGTGATTCCTATTCAAAGTGAGGCAAACCAGTATGGCAACAGACTGAACAAGACAGACGACCTTGAATCCTCAATCGACGAAACTCATCGAGCGACATGCTCTCGGCGACACCGGCATTCCACCTTCAGTCGTGACAATTGCAGTGCCTTGCCCGTATCAGGGAGTGATCAGAATGAGTCGAAGCATTTGACATCTCGAAAAGTAATTTCCTCGCGGAGCAGACACACAGCTCAAGAGAACAAATTCCTTGAACGCCATTGTTCAAAACACCAGAAGTCTAAGAGAGCCTCTAAGGGAACGGTTTTAAAACCTGAAGCTCCGGAATTCGTCCCACGGTGTCTGCGTTGACATGCCTATCGTAAATCCTGCATTCCACCTGTTACTCGATCCGAACGGTAAACACTCTGGGCTGTAGAGCGGAAAGAGTTTTCCGTTCATACCATTAACACCAAGGACAGGCTGCTACTGTGCGAATGGGTGTAGGAGGGAATCCCGCATTTGCGTAGTCGTTTATCTGTATAGCTAACGATGCTCTGTACGTATTATGTTGACTAGCTCTTCATCTACTTAGAAGTAGTGATTCTCGATTTATCCCTTCTCCTTCTCTTTAGATTTCCGCTCTTTTCAGTCGAGAACTAAATTATTTGTCCTAAGGAAGACTGTATATAAGTAGAGTTAAGAGTATCGAATCAAACTGGTCAGGAAGGCTGTCATCACCCAAATCTCTGTTTCGCCAGAGCCTTGAGCCAGGTCATGGTCTCCTCCTCCTTCTCGCGATACTTCTTCAGCCGTTGCTCGCGCTCGGCCGCACGCGCGCGGAGCATTTCCTCTCTCCGGATCTCGCGCTCGTTCTTCTTTCGTTTCTCCCGCTCACGCGCCTTCTTCAACGCCTCGAGGTCATCCTCTCCACCCATCAAGTCGGCATCGGGGATCGCCTCCGTCGGCGAGCCGCCACGTCGGGACTCGGCGAATTCGCGGTTGGCGGCCGCGGCCTCGCGGCGCTTTTCCAGGCGTCGCTCGCGCGTGCCCGGTTCAGCGCGAGGCGCAAGCTCGTCTTCCATGGCGCGCATCTCGGCCTTGTGCGCTTTGATCTCGGCGCGACGCTGTTTCTGTGCCCCTTCTCGGGCAGCGAGTTCGTCGGCAAGGGCGGATTCTGTAAGGAACGGATAGGTGTTTTAGTAAAATAGATAGATAATATGGCAGAGAATGAGGGAAAAATAACTCACCTCGTTGGAGTTGTAAATCCTGCACTGTTGGTATCGTTGGGCCGGACCGTTGACCCGGTTGACTTCTACTACTTGAACCTAGTTGACTCCCAAGTTGACTGGGAAGCTGTGGGCCGTATAAGTCCTCGTCGTCTTCGTTCTCCACCTCCTCCTTCTCCTCCCTCTTCTGCTGTTCTTCTTCCCTTATCCTTGCCCTTGCCCTTTCCTCCTCGGATTCTTCTGCTGCCGGCGAGCGCGAGCGCATTCCAGGTTCCGTGTATGATCGTGATCGCGAAGATCGGCTGCCATCATGGCGGCCCGTTGTTTCATCATAGTCCGGTGACGGTGACTCGCGGCGTCTGCGGCCAGTTGATCCCGAAGAAGAAGCGCGGTAAGACTGGAAACCGCTCTTTGCTTTCTCGAAGGTGCTGGGATCATACCAGCCTTCCGCGAGTTCTCCACGGTTCCTGATATGTCAGCTTGTGGTTGAATTTTTGAGGGAAGAGATGGTAATTGAATGCCGAGAAGTTAAAAAATAAATAAAGAAAAAGAACCTTACTTACCATCGCTTCACAAAGCTCTTCCACCGCCCCTTGACCTCCTCCTCATCTAGATCCTCCAGGACCAACCCCTTCTGGATATCAAGGTACATTGCAAACATGGGCTTCAACAGCGGCAGATCCCGCTTTGAGAGCTGCCGCGCTCCATACGGCAGACTCACGGCAGCCCCCGACGTGGCAGGTGACGTGTCCGAGCGCGAGTGTCGTCGTCGCCGCCGCTCCCGATCATCATCATCATGGCAGTGGTGGTGGTGATGGTGGTGATGATGATGTCTTCTTTTCGAGTCGTGTCTGTCGTAGGGTGAGCGCGAACGCGAACGCGATCGTGATCGTGAATGTCGATGATGATGATGTCTCTCTCGATCTCGATGTCGTCGCGCGCGATCTCGTCGGTCGTACTCGTCGTAGACGTCGTCGTCGGAGCGTCGTGGAGGGGACATGGAACGGGTATGCGATCTTCGATAGTAGGAGCCGTGGTCGTAGTCGTGGCCGTGGCTGTGGCCGTGGCCTGAAACTGAGCGCTCTGTGCTGTGCGCCATGATTCAATTATATAGCCCTTTGCTTTTTCTTGCCATTTAGTATTTCTTTTTCTTCAGTCGATATTATTTATACCTGCGGGAGGCTAGCTAAGGTAAACGGCTTGCAGTTACTGGGATACAATGGTTCCACAGTTCCCGACGACCTACTTAATGCCAAGCTTTTTCTGATTATTGTTAGCTCGATCGACGTCCCTCGAATCATGTTACTCGTATTATTTACGTCGGCATCAATCTCACAGCTTGATATGCAGATTAACTACCGATTCCCTATAGATACTCTCAACCAATTACTTGGCCATACTTGCTTTTCCTGGAATGGTTGTGGGGTATTTTTTTTAAAGGCACGACCTGGGTATACCTTATCATCCCTTTACGTCAGTATGGATATGGATAGTTCCGACAGGCGCGCAGGACACATTGTTGCGTTCTAGCCGGTCCTTTCCAGCCCTTTTCAAGACATATGTTGAAATCACCAAGGATTTTCTGGGAAAAAAAAAAGTAAAAGAAAAGAACGGAACCGCATATATGCTACCGGGTAAAATACAAAGAAAAAAAATAAAACGTGTGTCTTGATGATGTCATCGCAATTAAAACAGATTCAGCTCGATGCACCATTCTGCTGCTCCGAGTTTGAAGAGGCAGTGGATTGCTGTGAAGCCGCCTTTGATCTGTTTGCGGCAGCCATTTGCCAAGCTGGAATCGATGCCGGTCTGGGCAGATGTGAAACTGGGTTGCTGGTGGTCTCATTGCTGGGCGTTTGGTTGGTAGCGGGCTGTGCCGCGGCTTCACCGGACGATACCGTAGAGGGTTGACTCTGTGATGCCGCAGGGATACCGTTGGTTGTTGCAGAAGAGCCCGACGCCTCATCCGATGGGCGAGAGGCACCGGACAAGGTCATCGATCCCACCGTCCGTCCCGGCAACGAGCTGCCAGCCGCACCACCGGCATTAAGTCGGTTGCCCAACAGGACTTTGAGACTCTTCAGCTCTGTGCCCAGTTCTTTCAGTCTGTTCTCGTTTCCTTCCCGAGCACCCTCAAGGGCCTTCGGAATGCTATCTTTGAGATTCCTGACCTCCTCACTTATCCGGCGGGTGTCTTCATCTCTCCGTCGTACAGATGTCTTCAACTCTGACACGACGTTTTCTACCTCACGAAGAGCGGCATCCAGTCGCTCCGTTCGTGCCTCTTCAGCAGACTTCAGAGCGGCTGTATCGGTCGAGAGCTGGTCAATGAGAGCAAAGGCACGGGCGAACTGCTCGTCAATGCTTTTTTTATCTTGCTCTAGTTGAGGAGGCGTGGGAGGGGCAATGAGGGGTACAATATATCGCTGGATGATCACTATCTTAGCAAGAGGCATGATAAGCCCAATGTAGCGAAGGGGACAACCTTGGCAAGAACATATAAGCCGTAACCGATACCGCCCGTTACCGTAGCCATGATAAACCAGTCCCGCCAATCCCTTCGGGGCAGTCTGATAACGAAAAGTTAGTAAACCGTCCCCCAACAAAAGTTAAAGATAATTCGAGACTGCTTACTCCGGCGGAGGCTGCCATTGCCCGTATGGAGGATAGCCATATCCTGGTGCAGGTGGAGGAGCAGTTTGTCGGTAAGCCGGCGGCTGCTGAGCAGTATGCCCTGAGGGAGGGGTATTTGTGGGCGAAGATGATGCTGTCTCTTCTCCAGCCCGCGCAAGAGCAAGATCAATTTCCTCCTGCGTCAAGTTCTTTGACTGGAGGAATGCGATCCGCTTCTCCAGAGGCGCCGACGACACGGAGGGGTCTTGAAGGACTGTCGCATGTCAGTATCCTCGCAAATCGCAGACGACATAAGCGCAGAATCCGGGCTCGAAGTTTGCAAAAGACATACATGTAACCTGAAGTGGAAAACGGTCTTGTCAGTGAAACCCAGGATTGACGGGACGTGAGAGACATACAGCCGAGGAGACAAGCTCCTCTCGAGCCATGATGGCAGGCCCTCTGCTGGCAGGGCTTTACTCAACTTCGTGGGAGCGTCAGATCGGTAGAACCCAGACTAAAGGACGATACAGACTCAAAGGGCCGTCAAAAGCTCTGCTGGCTCCTTTGGTCTGAAGAAGGTGCAAGAGCGGCGTTGTGTTTCCGCCTCGGGACAGCATGAGGCACTTGGACCTCGGAAGTTGGACCGCGCGCGGAGCTACCCCAGAGTCGCGCACGTGACGTGACCAAGTACGGAGTACGTTGCGGCGCCTCGGAGCGTGTCTTTTTCCGCGCCGAGACCGCCTTCCCGCTTGGGCCACGCCAGACGCTGCGCTGCTTTGTTTACATCGCCCGAGTCTGATTGTGGGCTGTCGCATCGTGACAAGGCCTGGTCCACGTCCCCATATCTCACTGTTCCCCTTTTGTCTGCACATATCTTGGTCGACAGCAGATAGAGGGACTCGGAATACTGTCGCGATCACTTTTTGGGACTTGACTTGGCTTTCTGGTACCGCCGTCCGCGGTTGTCGATTCCCACCATGTCGCAAGACACTGGGTTGTTCAGCATTAGGCGCCCCCGAGAAGTACGCTTGCGGTCTCTTTTGTCGCATAGAACCCTTTTGAATAAATAAAGATTTGTTGGACCCCATGTTAATGAATGCTAACATAGTCATCGGCGCAGACCCTCGGGAGCGTCCAAAACTTTTCTGCAATCCCTCAACCCTCCTCCGCGCTGAAGCGTACCAGCTCCGTTGGCGCCTTCCAAAACCCGCCGTACACTTCACAACACACGCGTTCGACATCGCTTCTCAATCCGCATGGGCGACCCCAGCAACCAAACTTTCAGCGGTCTTCATCAGGAGGCAGTTTTGGACCAGATGCCGGCCTTTCAAGCGTCAGACGCTCTGTTTCGAGTAATATGTTCCAGAGCTCAAGTGTTGGTCGTCCAAGCTATGCACCCGGCTCCCTCCCCACTAGCTCCGCATCGCAGAGTCTCCAGCGAAGAAGCAGCGTATTCTCGCGTCCATCAATGGGTGGGCCAATGGCTCATCAATCCTTTTTCGCCCAGGCGCCAGTTCCTGCCGGTTTGCCTAAAGACCCTCGTCCGCTCAGGGATCGAGCGTACCAAGCGCGAATTGGACAAGAATTGTTGGAGTATTTGACGCATAATAATTTCGAGTTGGAAATGAAGCATTCGCTGGGTCAAAATACTCTAAAGTCGCCGACACAGAAAGACTTCACGTACATTTTCCAGTGGCTTTACCATCGCATCGACCCAAGTTACAAATTTCAGAAGAGCATTGAGAACGAAGTACCAGCCATTTTGAAGCAGCTACGTTATCCCTATGAGAAGAACATTACGAAATCCCAAATAACTGCAGTCGGGGGTCAGAATTGGTCCACGTTTCTTGGAATGCTTCACTGGATGATGCAACTTGCTCAAATGCTGGACCGTTTTTACATGGGCGAATACGACGACGCTTGTGCCGAAGCTGGCGTGGATGTCACTGGAGACCGTATCATATTCCGGTTCTTAACTGGGGCCTATCATGACTGGCTTCAAGGTGGCGAAGATGAGGATGATGAGACAGCTGAAAAGCGCCTTGTTCCCCACATTGAAGCCATGGCGATAGAATTTGAGAAGGCCAATGAGAAGTACGTTCAGGAAATGCAAGTTTTGGAAGCAGAGAACCGAGCCCTTCGGGATCAGATCGAGGAGTTGGAGAAAAACGCACCCGATATGGCCAAGTTGGACAAACACTTCCGGATCTTGGAGGATGACAAGCGGAAGTTCGAGGACTACAACCAGAACGTCCAGGGCAAGATTGAGAAATATGAGAACCGCATTCGATTCCTGGAGGAGGAGATCAAGAAGACAGAGGCCGAACTCCAAGCCGCGGAGGAAGAACGGTCGAGTCTTCAGTCCAGTTTGGACCAGCAGGGCATCACGATACAAGATATCGACCGGATGAATACGGAACGAGAAAGGCTGCAGAGGAGTCTCGAGGATACTATGAGCCGATTGGAGGAAGTGCACAACCGGGTCATGGAAAAGGAGGCCGAGGCGAGCCGAAAACTGGAGGATCTTGAGCAAATCGTCAAGACTTACAATACGCTTGGTTACCAGAACGCCCTGATTCCAGCGTCTGCGGTGAATGCCAAGGGTCAGGACTACGAGCTCCGGCTGAATATCAACGAAAACAGTTTCTCGTCATCCCAGCTGGGCGGTTCACGGCATCGAAACTCGCCCGAAGGGGACCGGCTCCTAGCGGATGCTAACACCGGCTACCATCCCGCACACCTGATCAACCTCGACCTTCGAGGCATGGTACGGAGCAATCTCAACGCGCTTCGTAAGGAGATCAATGAACGAAGAAAACGGGCAATCGATGACGATCTCGAACGTCGCAACCTCCTGGACAACATCAAGGAAGCCATGGACGAGAAGCGGAGCGAGGTGGAGGCGCTCGAGCACCGGAGGCGCGCCGCGGAGGAAGAGTTTGAGCGAACCAAAGAAATCGCGACAGCACAGAAGTTGGCTTCGGATGCGCAGATCGAGAAGATGGAGAAAGAGCTGGCCAAGATGCGCGCGTCGCTAACGGAGAGCGTTCAGCTGATGGAACAGCGCGAGATGAATACAAACATCGAGTATGAACAGCTGACACTGCGGGCGAATGCGCTGCGGGAGGAGCTGCACACGCAAGTGGAGAGCATGTTGAACGATGTGATTCGGTTCAAGGTGCACATCCAGAAGAGCCTGGAGGACTATGAGAGTTTTGTGGTCGATGAGGTGGAGCAAGAGCTGGGTGCGGAGGCGCAACCGGCCGAGGACACGCCGATGGACGAAGCACATGAAAGCTGATCGAGTGCAATAGGGTATAAAGTCTGGAGATCCGCCGGTTCTGGATTTTCTTTTTCTGTCATTATTGATTTTGAGTGTTCATGATGGCTTTTTTGATGAGTGATGACCCGATGGATTGTGTACTTTTATGTACTGGCATGTCTCTTGCTTAACTTGGTCTGGGTATCGATAACGATGTGGATGGTGGACATAGAGTTTCCTTAGCATCCAGAATTACCACAGCTGTTGCGAAGCAAAGGCATAACCACTCCGATGAACCTGGAGATTGAGGGTCTGACAGCAACACAAACCTCCAGACACCCATCTCACGCGGGACGCAGTCGAACCCAATGTGTTCTGCGGACAAGCAGGGTCCAATGACACCCCGCAAGGATATGAGTTAATTAGTTGCGACGTTAATTAATCCATCAGCAACAGCAGGCATACAAACGGTTCGGGTTACTGACAGGTTACCTAGGGAGGTACCTCATGGAGGAGGGATGTTCGACGGAGTATCGGCTTGCAGATGCTCTCAATTCCGACATTCCATGCACTCGATATCTTCATGTTCATCATTCTCCTCATTCGGCGTCAGGATAGAGGAGTGTGCAGCCGACCTGATCGGCTGAGGAGTAATTAATTAATTCATAACTGCACTTTCTTCTCCATCGACGAAACCATACCAGACCACCGAACGTTCTGGCGGCTCATGGAGGTTGTAATGGCTGTCATTGGGTTGCAGAGATGGCTTGACCCTTGTACAGCACATACATAGGGTGTGCTGGCACCTACGTCCTCCACTTGCTTGTGTGTGATATACAGGCATATATAGGAACTCCAAAGTACAACCGTGGCATAGATGTTACAAGCATAAGGCCATCATCAATCGAGTTTGATGCCAGGGGGAGAACGCCCTCATTGCTGACGCCAGGGTTCTGATGATCACGCAAATATGAAGCCCCCATTGTTAAGAAAAGTCGATCATTCTCCCTTCGCCGAGCACGTCATATTGGGTGCCCATGCTCTCCTAAGGTGTGTGTAGCCCAACACTGCACGAAATGGCCCTCGCGCTGGGATTATTCTGGAATCGAGAAGTTGAAACAAAGACGCGGGCGGATGTAACCTGGCCCCACTGTAAACTCGTCAATTAATGCCAACCTATCAGGGAGCCTGAGGCCCTGAGGGAGCGCTGTCGTGCTGACGACGGCGGCGCCACGCGCGAAACAAGCCTTGACCGGCGTCAAGGGATCGACCCGGTAGACAGGAATTGTTTCATCCCCCATCCTCGACACGCCAAGTGGAGCCCTGGCCCGCTGATGACGAAGCTTGACTGTTGTATAGCGATATTATTAGCCATTACGAGGCACTCCCGTCTAACTCCGGGCCATTATTCTCGCCCCGATTCCATCGACATACTGTGATCCTATGCCCCACCGCACGTGGTGGCTAGCCCGGCTTGCGTTGGCTTCGCTTCGACTCATCGAGAACCGAGTCCGGCCCTCTTGCTTGCGTTTTCCTCAAGACCACCACCGGGCGGGCTCCAACGGACGTCCACCGGTATTTGTTTATCGTGATCGTGAAACAAACTCCAGAAGGTTGCAGTCCTTTTCCTGTGACTGGCCCGATATTCCCCCAGGATGATGTTGATGTTTATCACGAATCCTCCTAAGGGCCAAAACAAAGCTCCAAAACAAGCTAACGGCCGATATCAGCCCGACCCCAGATGAAGTGTCTCGTCGCCATTGGCCAAGAGATCGGAAGGTCCTCTGTAGGCTACTGATCGTCAAGAGCAAAGCCTGTAGCTTTTGGCCAAGCTTCGCGCCGGTGCAAGGCACCTGTCAATCATGCTTCCGTTCTGGGCCGCACTGTTGTCGATCATCGACATGCAAATAGGGAAACCAGGGGCGTAATTTAAAAATTCCCGGGTCTTTTCCAATCTGGCCCCATGTCGCCAGCTCGGTGAGTTGCAGGAAAGCATACCCTGTACGGAATAATCTGTAATACTACTGTAGAAGTCACAATTTCCGTTCGCTCATAAAAGACCCTGTCGTCTGCTACTCGAGTGTTTCCCATCATCGTCTTTCTCTTCCGCACTTAAGGGGTATAAAAAGCCGTTCTACCTCCTTCTTCATTTCATCCTCATTGAATCGCTGGTAGATTCAATTGTTGGCAACCCATCTTACTATCTTCAATTCTTATAGACCATCACCACAAAGAAAACAAAAAACCAATTCACCACAATGAAGTTCTCCACTGGCGTCGCAGCTCTTGCCCTCCTCCTCTCCACGACGAGTGCGGTTGCTCTGCCTGCTGGCAACAACGGTGATGTTCAGGATCACCACCACCCTCACCACCACCCCAGCAGCACTCACACTCCTCACCACTGGTCGGTGAGTTAGGAACTCTCCCAACATTTATCTTGTAATAGTAGCTGACTTGGTTGTCTCCTTCCAAAAGAGAACCCACACGCCGCACCACAGCCACACGCCTCACCCGAGCCACAGCCACGACCCTCGTCCTATCCACACCCACGAGGCTCACCGCAGCCACAGCCACGAGCCGCACCCTAGCCACAGTCATGAGCCTCACCCGAGTCACAGCCACAAGCCTCATCCCAGCCACAGCCATGAGCCTCATCCTAGTCACAGCCACAGGCCGCACCCGAGCCACAGCCACGAGCCTCACCCGAGCCACACGCCTCATCACAGCCACATGCCGCGTCCCCACGTGCCTGTTCCCGTCAATGAGGATGGCCGTCCCACCATTCTTCCTTAAATGAGCTCGTGAGGACGATAGTCGTGCGCTCAAGCTTCTCGAAAACTAAAAAAGAAACTCTTTCGCTGAAAGACGCTCAGTCAACGCTCAGTCGGTGATGGAATCTGTATAAACAATGAGGGACAGTTGGGTAATTTTTGGAGGACTTGTGGTGTATAAACTTGTGTGATGGATTTTTTTTATATATACATTCTTTCTCAGCAAATAATTTTTTTTTGAGACAGATCTATATCCAATCTAACTTTTTTTAACAATTTTACAATTTTACAATTCTTGCTCCCAGTTTCCTCGGAGAAACTGCTTTCATGTCCTCTTTTTGTTTTCAAAACAAAAGAAAAACGAAATTTCGTTTCTACTTGTAGACCAAGATCAATCAGCATGGTTTGTCTGCAGGAACCAGATTCTCTCGCCTTAGCAACCATTGAGCCAGGCCTTCACAGCTGAGGTCGCATTATTGATATCCAGATACTCTGCCCGCCCGTCTCCATTCAAATCGCCAAAGACAATGTGTGTACCTCTGTCGCCGACTCCCGTCGCGATGGTTCCTCGCTGCCACCATCCCACCTTAGCTGCATTCGGTCCATTATCCCTGGCGAAAGATGAAGTCAGTGTCTGATACCGAAAAGAAACCACCCTGCGAAGTGGTGGAGCCTGAGAGTGACTTACAGCCCCCCTTGATTCTGCCACAGCTTCACAGAGCTGTCGTCTCCCACGACCAGATAGTCCGCTCTGCCATCCCCGTTGATATCAGCGAGTCTGATCTGGTAACGCGTCGCGCCTACTCCAGTGGCGATGACCCCTTGCTCGATCCAAAGGACCGAGCCTGTCGTCGTGTTGACATAAGTGTGGCCCCCGTTCAAGTATGCGGTGATGGCACCATGCAGATCCACATAGAGATATTCTGATCGGTTATCTCCATTGAGGTCCGCGAACCGCACGCCTGCCCCGGTCTTTCCGATACCTGTCGCGATGACGCCTTGTTCTACCCAGGTGATATTCTTGATGTCTGATGGATCACTGAGGACATTCAGCCACATGGACACCGAGCCATCATCACGTACCCAGAGGTAGTCGGCTCGTCTGTCCCCATTAATGTCCGCAAAATGGATCTGCTCCCGCCGGCCACCGACACCCGTGGCAATCTCACCACGCGGCCACCAGGTCACGTTGCCTGTCTGGCCATTGATATACGTCCATCCAAGGTTCTCGAAGACAGTGACAGCTCCGTCATCATGCAACCAGATGTACTCGTCTCGACCATCCCCATTAAGGTCCGCCAACCGAACAGCATGCGTGTAATTGTAGCTGAACTCGTTGCAGTTGGTGACCGTTCCCTTGTTGACCTGATATGGAGGGGAAAATAGTTCCCCCAGTTTATTGCAGAAACATGTCGTGTCCTCACCAAAAAAGCTCGCGCAGTCATCCCCCGCATAAAGATCCGTACCTAGCCCCGCTCCATTTGCGATCTCGCCCTGCTCGATCCACTTCACCAGGCGTGGACATTCCTGCCGCGTGGACCCAGTCGACGTAGGCCCAGTCGACGCGGCAACTTCGACTGGTGCAGTGATCCAGCCCAGGGAACAGGCCTTGCCAATGGCGTCCAGCCAGCTCTGGCCCATGAGCTTGTATCCCAGATCGTTGGGATGCAGCCCGTCTGCAAGGTCGGTAACATTGACATTGGACATGTCCGCGACAAGAACTTTCTTGCCTTCTCCGCTGCGGCGCATAGCCACGCTCCATAAGCCGGCATTATATGCATCAGCACGGGCTTGGGCTGTTGCATTGGCGATGGCAGGAATTGTTGCGACAATCACAACGGCGTCCGGGCACGTAGAGATGATCTTGTCAATCAAGGCCGCAAGCCGATCTGGTGCCGTGTCTACTTGGTCATTGTTGTTGATGTCGTTGGTCCCGGCCATCAACAGGACCAGCTGGTGCGCGTTTGTCAACTTCGTCCTCAATCACATCATGAGAATGACTTACATTGGGCTTTTCTTTCAATGTCCCATTTGCATAGCTGGAGATAGCATTGATCTCCGCTCCAGGATGACCCTCGTTGCTATTATTCGCCATGGAGCCGGAATGCACTGAGCCGATGAACTCGACGGTGTTGTTGGCCGCCAGATTGGTTTCAACATAAGCACGATATCCATTGCCATCGCTGCTCCTATAGCCATAGGTGATGGAGTCGCCGAGAGGCATGATCCGGAAATGGAGGCCCCCGAATCGGTTCACATCCCGGTAATGGGCTGGACAGAGGCCCCAATAGTCGTACACGCCCGTCAGACGGTCGTCGGTTAGACTGATATTGTCTGGGAATTTGCTGGTCTGGTAGTCTTCACTTTCGAAGGTGGCATGCATCTTCCGAATACAGGCGGCATCACCGAAGTACGGCTTTGTGAGGGAGGCATCCAGGGAATACCAGTATTGCCAGGGAAGGCTCGTCTGGGGTTCCTCAATAGCACCACCTATCCACCAGAATCGCGCAGGGCCTACCAGCCGCTGAAAATAGCGGGCAGTCAGAGGTCACCCGGGCTGCTGACCTTTTCCCCGACTCCACCAGGATGAGTCGTGGACATTGCAGGCTATGGCGGCCCGGGTCTCGTTGAGATACTGTTGGCAGACGGTGGCGTTGTCCGTATACCGCTGCCAGAGCAGCTCAACGATCAGCGCCTGCTCGGAGGATATCTCGAAGATGCAATCCACGCTATTATTGGTCCCGCCGGTGCGCAGGGCAGGAAACTCAATAGTATCCCAGACGTTGCCGTCCCGAACACACTTGCCTTTCAACACGTATGCTGTTGTCGCGGCATTCTGGGCATAGACCTGTGCAGCGTACTGCCACTTGGCTCGGGCCTCGGGGGAGAAAACAAAGGACGGCATGTCCACGCGCGCCTTGCGCAGCATCACCTCCATAGTCGTGTGGTCTATATCGGTGGCCAGGAACTCGGCGAGCCCCTTGATGCTGTCCTCTTCGCCGTGGCAGGCCCCGGTTCTTCCTGTCCAGAAGAAACGTCCCGCGAAAGGCTTTTGCGTGAGGGCATTGAAGATGTCGTCGTCACTGGGCAGGGTGGTCGTTGTCGACAAGGCACTGATACATGATCAGTTACCACAGAAAGGCCGTTCGACGACAATAACAACAAAAACAATAAAAGGTGTACATACCTCTCCAGTGAATCGGTCCCCGTGCCCTCTCTGGAGGGGTCCCAGTTCTGCCACTGGGCAACGCATGTTGCTAGAAAGCAGCTGTCAGATAAAATCGAGTCTCTTTTTCACAAACACTCTCACCAGCAAGTGCTGCGAGCAGCCAGACAGAGAAAGGCAGCCGCATTTTGTAGCTATCACCAGGGCAGCCTCCCAGACAGGTAGGTGTATATACATACATGTATTGGAATAAATTGTAACTCGACCCATGATGGCAGCAGGCATTTTAACGATGGACACGGAGTGGGCCACGGTCTGCCACGTAATTATTGACCCCTCAACGCCAGCACCTGATTTTGATGCTTTTTCCTATTTGAATAAATATGAAAAGACACTATCTACTAACACTATCTACTAGGACATTGTCAACCTGTACATGAAGCTTTGAAAGCACCCTCTCTGGCTCATATCATTGCTTGTATTTTCTGGCCATATATATACTTATACTTCTTAAGACTGCAAAACAGCTGACATTAAGCAGCTGACATAGAATGAATGTGCTAATATATATAGAGGAATAATGCAATTCTCCCTGCAGAATTTATTAAATTCTGCTGTCGCATGGCTGCTATGGCCATCGAGGATCAAGAGATGATGTCTGCCTGCCAGCTGTATAGCTCTTTAAGCCATTCTAGGCCTAGTTCATCGTGAATTGGTCCAGTCCAGCCATTGTCGCTTGTACTAATGCACCAACTGCGTGGCACAAGCTTGTTCTATTTGCACTGATTCTTTTTTGCTGCGAAAAAAGAGGCTTGTGGTGGTCGTGATGATAATACGATCACAGAGAAGGAAATCTCAATTGGCTACCTAAGAACTAGGAGCCAAAAGTGAGGTAGGAAAGAAGGAAGGACTGAGTACATAGCTAGGGAACGGATGGAGTATCTATGCCTCAGACATGTCCTGCTTCCAAAAATATATATCTTTGTTCCATCAACCTTTCTTCTAAATATATATTCCTTTGAGCTCTATCCTTAGTCCTAGTCTCTATAATTAGGAGTTCCCGTTCGCAGTAAGAAGTCTTTTATAAAGAAATATCCTTTGTTCTGCAGAAATTACTCTGTAGTGATGTTGGTGTTTATTGAACCTGATTCAAGAGATATGATTGGCTGCATGGAGTCATTCTTGGCGGCTGTCTAATCACGTGATATTCGAGGACCCATAGGCCAATCGCCAAGACGCTACTCCGAACATTTTACATTCAGCTTCGGACATTGTAGGTGGACAATCGACCAGTCCAAGAATTGGCAAATTGACGACTTCGCTCTTGACCGTCTCTGTGCTGCGGGGACCATGGTCCACGGCTAGCCGGCCAGATATGTGTTCAGGACCTATCAGCAAGCTCGCCATTCACGTCTCGATCCTCCGCTACACCTGTTCCGCCGCGAAGTCCTCCGCCGTCGGGTCATGAAATTTTGCCTGCGCCCACGCCGTCCGACACAGCTGGGCAGCAGGCTTTATGTCTCTCATCATGGCTTTGCACGTTGTCGCTGTGGTCTCCGCCTGACAGAAATTCTGAATTGGGGGACTTGTTGTCGGGCGAACACCGGATCATGGAATCGAGCCTTCTCCAGCGGCAGCACTCCACGCCTGGCCACTTACTCCGACCTCTCGAGGTCTGGTCATGTTTCTCCCCAGACAAGGGAATCTCCCGCCAGACAGCGCTGTCCAATTCCTGCGGCACAGAGAAAAGATCTTGGTGTCTGGATCCAGCACCTGGAACCATTCCTCCCCCGTCACTTGCGCGAGAGTGCGTCAGCGAGCCCTGACGAGCCCGAGCCTCCTCAGGCGACATCATCACAAGATACCGCCAATCATGAAGGCCTTGCTATCGCAACTTTGTTGTCACAAGCTCGACGTTTGGAAAACCTCGATCTCTTGGCGCATCTTGGATTCGGACTACGAAGATGGCCTGCAGTCGACGCACTCACAACCAAGTTGCTCGACGCAACGGATACAAGCAAGGGACCCTGGCCCATGAATCTGGGGCTTCCGTCGAACATCGAATGGGGACCTGGGCCGATGGATCTGACCACGAATGATTCCCTCCGTGACCGTCCAACGGCCTTTCCAGTCAAATCATCGACAGAGCGACGCCCTGACACTGCGCCAGTCACCTTGGATACTCTGGCGGATGAGCCGCCTGCACATGCTTCCACTCGGATGATCATGGGTGAGGTTTGGCAGAGCTTGGGATTCATTATCCTTGAAGCTGCAGATCTGCCTGCAGACGACGCTGCGCCCGCCATGTCATTTGTGTATCGAACCCTTGCACGGCTTCACCATTCCGCTGCCATTTCCGATGTGGTGTATAAATATTCGCGTCCCTTGGATGATGAAGCTTCCTTTCGGCCACCGGGGATGTATTTACTGTCCACGCACATTATGAATGTTCTATCTGATGCTATGTGGCTGGAGCACGAGGCAGAAGTGTCGGCCAAAGCAGCTGCAGCTGGGGAGAAGTCACCTTATCGTCCGTTTAAGATGGGAATCCGGCACCTGGGACCGGAGATCTGGTTAGAATTCGTGCTCTGGTGCTGCGTCGAAGAAGGCCATGTTAAAGAAGGCGTGTGGATCTTGGAACAAATGAAAGCACGGAAGGGTGACTTGGCCTGGAAAGTGGCGAGTTGGAAACCACTTCTTAACCGTCCAGATTTGATACGCGATACGGACATTGATACGGAGGACTTCTGGCCGCATCCAGAGGCAGAACGGACGCATGGAAAGTCCAAGAGTGCCACGGGCTTCTTTCATGGGCTGGGGAAACGAACTATCAGTGTTGAAGTCGTCGCATCGTTGCTAGACGGAGCTGTGAATCTAGTGGATCGGGGAGTCGGGTTTCAAGGATACCCATTCCAGCTCGTGCTCCAGTATCTCGTTTTCCTGAACAACTTGATTGCACAGTCTACTGGTGGGGACAAACAGGCTTCTGGAAGGCATTCGTACTGGCCTTTGGTTAGGATGATCGAGTCCCAGGGCATAGATCCGCAAGCCGACCCACGAGCTTTCGAGCGGCTTCTGAAGGCTCGACCTCCCGTGCTGCCTCCATGGGATGATTCCACGCCAATTACCTACGAAGAACTGGACGCATTTACTAAACTACAGCTGTACGATAGTTCTTCGGCGCTGACAGGCTTGCTGGAGTACAATCTCCGTGCGTACGCCGCGAATCGTCAGACTGGCGGTGCCTTTAATGTTTTTGCATGGTTGCAAGAGTTAATCGATAAGAGCAAGATACAGCATATGCAGCGGTTTTTGGAAGAGATCAAACACCTGGACGACGCAAAACTTGCACCAGATCAAGCACCACCTAGCCTAAACCGGTCATCTATTCCGCAGCTGTCGAACGTGACCTTCGCCGAACTCCTTGATTTGGCCACCGTGTCTCGGGCCTTTAGCTTTGGAGAGTGGCTCCTGTTCTCGACTGATGTGGACGGGCCTTTCATCCCTCTTGCAGCCTACGGAGACCAGGCGCTGGCGCCATCTATCATGCGGTTTGCTGCAGCGACGCGGAATACGGAATTATGCGACAAGGTGGTTGAATCCTTATCTCGCCCGATCGTGCGCAACACCTTGAAAGCCTTGCTGAACTTTCGGATCACCATGGGGGAATGGGATCGAGTGGAGACGATGCTCGGCTATCTCCGAGATCACAAGCACAAATCCTGGGGCGAAAGCAATGTCACTGCCTTGGCAGCGGCAGTCCTGAGGCTTGACCGAAGCGCTCGAAACAGCACCGGCTCTAATCATGAGGCCAAGCGGCGATCTTTGACCAGAGCAAAGGAGATCTTGGTACGGGTCTTGAACGGGGAATTCAACGTGCAACCCAATCCGGCCAAGAAATCCCTTTATCAAGAACGGGCACTGCACCGGTTGCATCAGGTTTTCTCGTCGATACCGGGCCCGCTTGAAGAGGTGTGCCGAGCCGCGAAGCTCCAGTACCAACCCGCATCGTCTCGCGACCTCCTGCCTTACATTCCGTCCGTCGCTTTCCACAATCTTCTCGACGCGGTCGTCGACCTCTACGGCAGCGCTGCCGGTAAGCGACTCTGGGAACGCTGGTGCCTCGACCACGTCTCCCCCGAGACGGGACGTCTGACGGACAGCGGCGTCTTCCGGCTCTACACCTCCAAGGACCGCAACCTCGACCAAGGCGACCCACACTTCGACGTCACCTGGTTCAGGCAAATGCACAAGAAGGCTGTCATCCCGAACCTGAACACAGTCCGTATCATCGCGCGCGCCGCCGTCAAGGAGTATCGACAATGTCAATCCGGGAAAGCGACCCCTCCTCCTAGGGATTCCCTACCAACCGCTCTGCCAGCACGGGAGGATGGTAGTAATGATGGAGACGTGGAGACAGCCGAAGAAGTCTTGGATTTCTGCGTGGAGCGGTACCGCCGTCTGCGGCTCGACGAGAAGGAGATCGATCGTGAAGTCCAGGGCCACCTGAGTCGAATGTTGAAGCGACAGCAACAGCAGCAATCCGCACATCGGACAAGAGACAACAGTAACTCATCAAGCTAGTCCTGCTTAGGAATGATCAAATTTGATTTGGCGTTTATTAAAGACCCTCGTTGTCTCTGCTTCCGCTGATTGCTAAGATAGAGTCTTCTTTTCTGTGTTCAATTGACTGGGCTGGTTGACTGGTTGACTGGTTGATTAACTGGTTGATTGATTAATTGATTTGCGTATGTATCCTGTACTATTATACGTGAAATCTGTACTTATACCTATATAGATATATACCCACGTGAATCGGCATTGTTATTATATTTTTATTTGTTATTGTAGCATATAAATGGCGCCATTTATTGTCACCGATACAAGTAGTACCTGTTGTTCCCTTTCTTCACTTTGACTAGTGTTTGTTGTATTCATCATATAGATAAGTGCTGTGTATTAGCAAATATATATACTATGGGAGGAGTTTAGGGTAGGATAATAGAATAAACACACACACACACATACAATGAATGGACGGAATCGACACTTTTTTTCTTTCTTCCTGTGCGGTATCTACGAAGCGACATATGACAACTGCGATAGATTCCATTCACCAAGAAAACTCAAACTAGACAAGCTCTGCCTAAGAACCAGCATCGCTGTATTACTGCCTAACCAACTCAACTACCTAACCTAACTAACTACATTGCTGTCTTTACCAGTCGACCGGACTTGACCTGACTTGACCACTCATGTAGTGAGCCCCATCCCACTGTTTAGCAGGCTGCTCGAGGCCACGAAGCTAAACCCACGGAATGGATCGGCTTCGTTCACCGCGCTGCTGCTGCTGTTGTTGTGTTCGCCGGATACGCCGGCGTACTTTAACATATTTTTGACGCGGTCATCGTCGTCCCCGAGCGGGTTACTGGACACGATGGGGCTCAGGGGCAGGTTCGTGAAATCGGTCGAGAAGTTTTCGGCCAGGGCTGGATCAGTGATGAGAGGCTTGATCGGTGGCTCCACCTCGCGTCGTGCAAGAGCCTTCCAATCGATCTTTCGGAAGAACCGGTGCTTCTTGATCGTCTCCAGATCCTTGGGCATGTGATAGCCCAGTCGCTTGTGCGGCTCCTTGCGAAGAAGACGGGTCAGAAGATCTTTCGCATCGGGCCCGAGAAAATACGGCAAGGAAAGCTTCTGCTTAAGGATCTTCTCCTGGATCTTGGCGTTGTTGGGGCCCTGGAATGGGGGAGAGCCCGTCAACAGGTCGTAACCCAACGCACCCAGCGACCACCAGTCACACGCTTTGCCGTAAGGCTTGCCCTGGATAACCTCGGGAGCCATGTACTCGATGGTGCCCAGAGAAGAGTTGCAACGGTCGTTTTCATCAACAGAGACCTTGCTGAGCCCGAAGTCGGTGAGCAGCAGGTGGCCCTCGGCATCCAGCAGGCAGTTCTCTGGCTTCAGGTCGCGGTAAATCACACCGACGTTCTGGTGTAGATGCTCGAGGGCGAGCACCATCTCCGCCATGTAGAAAGCGGCCACATCCTCACTGAACATCCGCTCCATTGCCAGATGAGTAAACAACTCGCCGCCCTGGGCATATTCCAGGATAAGGTACAGCTTCTCGTGGTCCTGAAAGGCGTAGTACAGTTTCACCACAAACGGATGGCGGTTGACGCTTTCCAGAATCATACGTTCGGTCTTCGTCTGCTCCACCAGTTTCTTGTGGACGGTAATGGAGGCTTTCCTAAACTGCTTCTGCGCGTAAAGCCGACCAGTCGCCTTGTGACGAACGAGCAAGACCGTTCCGAATGTGCCCTTTCCCAGACACGTCAAGGGTTCGAAGTCGCGACTTGTCATCTTCCTGCAGAGCTGATTCTGCGTATCATTGTCACCCGTAGAAAGCATGGAGGACTGCTCCTCTGCGACAGCTTCCTGGCTCACAAAGTCATGCTCAAGAGGGACTTCATAGCTCGTCATAACCTCTGTTTGGTCGCTGTCGGATTCCTCACTCACATTGCTTGGGGTGTGAGAGCCCGTCTGATTCGTGGTCCGCGAAGAAGGCCGACTGTCAGATAAGCTCAAGGCATCGAGCTGCAGCTTCAACGCACTAATACCGGCCGAAGTGTTTCCATTTCCCATGGGATTGATACGAGGGGATATGGCCCGGGAGCCTGCAGTAGATAAATCCGAATCCTCGTCGCCGGAAGCCATAGGGGTAAAACCTCGTACCGTGGATAGCGCGGGAGCGGCATCTCCAACCTCCACCTCAGCGACCCGCTGCTGCTTCTTCTTCTTTTTCTTCTTCCGCCGCGCTGCCTTCTCGTTAACACTAAGTCGGTCGCCATTCAGCTCCGGAACGGGGATGTGACCCTCCCCCGGCAGTTCTTTGCCTGGGGAACGCAGTGAGGTGTCTGATCGGCGCAGAGGGCTGTCGTCGAGCTTCATTTGAAAGCCAGTCTCCGGTTTGTCAACGTCCATCTCCGCGTGAGAGATTTCCACCTGCGGACTGAAAACGTCGCCCACTGAAAGATCGTCCATCGCAGCTGACGTAGGACTCTCTTTCAGCTGCTGCATCTGATCCGCCAGGCGTTGTGCCGAGCACGGAGGACGAGGGGAAGCCGAATTGAACATATCCGAAACAGAGACAGCCGCTCCCACACTTTGATGATCTCGAACTTAGGGCATCAGCCACGGCGAGCGGGCTACCCGGCAAGGGTGGTTGAACGGAGGAACCGTCAGGGTTTTGCGTATCTGTATAGAAGAACATTCCTTGTCAGATTATCATAGATAATAAGCAATTGACATTGTGAACAAAAGAGCACCCTAGTCAAAGAATGCTCTGCAGCTTCATAGAATACCTTTCAAGTCAACGACTCCAAAACCCTGGCTCCTCCTCGAAGAAAAATTGAAGCGTATCTGTCAATTCCCCTTAACAATTGACAGCTTTTACCGTCCGCCCTTACTCAGGACGGACCATGCACCCCTAGCCAAACCACGTTGCCAGACAGCGAGCCCAACTGCGCCAGTGGAGCAGCGAACGGGATCTCAGCAGACGACTCAACAGAGGCCGAGGTCGGGGTGTTGCAGCCGAAAACAAGGGAGTCCTTCAGATCGACAACCTGGCGAGAGCCCAGGAAAGCAGCGGACACCGGAGCGGAAACAGATACAGCTGATTGATGCGCAAGAAAACCCATAGAGGAACGAATCTTCTTCTAGCGTCTGTAGACGTGTAGAAAGCTTCGAGGTTCTTTGCAAGAAGTGAAATTGGAGCAGATACAGCTCTGCAGAGGATAAGACCAGCAAAGTGCAGTAGGGCAAGTGTGGAATGACCAGATATGACGTTCAGGGAATATCCCTCTGAAACAGTGGGTGATTTAACAGGTCTTGGATTACTGAAGGCAAGCAGGGGCTAAAAAACGACGATGTCGAAATGGACCAGTGGGAGGGCGTACCCGAGGAGACTAGCCGAATCGGGGAAAACGGATCTCACGTGTGATCGCCATAGGTTGGCAGGTGTCAGGCGATCTTCCGGGATATTCCAGCGAGTCCCCGACGAGACTGCAATATTATTGTTTTGTCGTTGTCATTGGACAGTATTGGACATTAGTTGTCCGAGCATGGCTGTTCGTGGTGGAAGATCGAGCATCACATGCGTGTTTGTACAGTACAATACGTATATTAATACAGTGTTCTAGGCACAAACAATGCCTAGGTCGATGCCTTGCATAGTGCTTCGCCTGTGGCAAAGACCCCGAGGGGCTACCGAGACTGAGGTTCTATGCCTTCCTTCATCCTCCAAAAGTCCTGCTGCGCGAAGAACGCTTTGGATCTCGTGATCTCCACCCCCGCCCCCTCCACGAAAGCTAATGCGCTCGGTTTTTCCACCCTCACGGTCACACTGTCGTAGCCAAATTCCATGGTGGCAATGCGGGCGATGAAGGTCGCCAAAGCCTCCACGGTCTGGTATGATGTGCATTCCACTCTCTATACAACACATTATCAGTAAATGATGTGAGAGGGACGAACAATTCCCATAGATTACCTACCTCGGCTACTGCCTTCGCCAGTTCTTGATAAGCATCAACACCTGTCGACCCCCAAACCGTTTCTCCGGTGCCTCGAAACGCAAGGGTGACAATAACGCACTGTTTCTCGAGTCTTTCATGCGAGTTGACTCCGAGAATACAATAGCAACGGATGCCCTCTATGCGAAATTCCTGCTCCAAGACCAGCGTCTGCCTTCCAGTCTCCACTGCATCTTCAGGAGACCCCTGGGTTTGATCGTACGCCCAGGTCGTCACACTGCGATATTTCAACCCACCCTCCGCTCGCAGCAGCGCCTTGGGCAGATGTATCCAGACCTCACACTGACCGAAAACGCTGTCAAGAGGATCAGACCCGCCACTCGCAGGTGATTCCGTGTGAGCTAGCGTCTGAGCGTGCGCAATAGAAGCCCCGTTGCTCGGCCTTCGACTTGCCTGGCTCGCTCGTCTCCCGGTGGGGGAGATCTGATGTATGTGTGCCATCCTTCTCACACCTGCAATGGTTTCGTCCAACAAACCCAGCCCGCAGTCTGCAATGATCCCAGCAAGGATCCGCACATCCCGTCCAAGAAGAATTTCCTTCATCTTGGCGCTTTGGCTCCCATCGATGTCGAGCATCTCAACTCCGGGGGCGATGGATTTGCCTGCATCGCGGATCTCGCTCTCGATCCGGCGGTAGAGCTTGCCGTAATCGAGGGAAAGTGACACGTCGTCAGCAGCCGCAGCAGCGATGGCTGAAGAGTATGACAGCTTCACGGAGGCTGTACATGGCTGTGCCTTGCCCGAACGGTGCCAGGGGTCGGGTCCTACAGGTAAAGGAAGGTTGATATCGCGGAGAGCAATATGATCCACTATAGCGGGACGGGGTAGAGGACTGAGTTTTAAACCGTCAGCCATGGGAGAAATCGCAGATGGAAAGGCACAAGGAACTGTTTGTCCGTTCGATGCGCAGCCCGTAGGGAAAGACTGAAACTCTATATAAATCCTCCCGGAGCCCGCCTAGCCCGTGACTTTCCGGCAGGCAGCCAAACAGCTAGCCTCTGCAGAAAAGCGCAGACAGATGGGAAATGGATTGTCTGTATGGTAAAACCGCCCTGGTCCGAACAGAGTCCTCCACCAAGCGAGTCGCAACAGGTACGCAGGCCCAGAACGTATAGACGTACGTAAAGCGAGTCTCACCTGGCGAGATTACAAATAGTCAGTCTGAAGACCTAGCAGTGGAAAACATACGTCAGCCGTACTCAATTTGCCCGCCAGTCGATGGAGGCGGAAAAGAAACGAGGACAAAGGATTTCCGTTCCGAACCTTGCCATCCACGCGCGGCGCAGATAAGCTTAGTTCATCTAACAGAGCCCCTCCTTAGGTTGGGTGTGGCATAAGCACTACCTTCGAAGTAGATGCTTAATTGAACAATATAATTAAGTCAGTTATCCTAGACAATGACAGGATACTGCGTTGCATCTCATGTAGCGGGTGGGGGAGGTGAAGGGTCGATGAAATGTCGTAGAAGTGCTGTAGTGGGGTAAAAGGACGGGAGCAATCGAGAGCTACCTACCTACTTAGGTACTCTGCTGTGCGGAGCGGGGACGTTGACTAAACTGACAAGCACTCGAGCGGACTTACGAAGTAGAATAATAATAGGTGCCTGACCTAAGCTCACCCACCTAGGTAGGTAAGGTTATGCGATTGTCGCCTTATGCAGACCGTGATCTACAGACTGCAGAGCTTCTGCAGAGGTACAGTCCCTACCAGGTAGCAAGATGCAACCTTAAAGTATTCGAGAATTTCCATGTCCCATCGAAGATTGTTCAGATCAATTCATTATCTAAGCTTCCAGAGCAAAGTTCTCTGAAGCCATGGATTCGTTAATATCACGTATCGTGCCACATTTACAGACGCAGATCCGCCCTTACGATTAAACCAGGTACAAAGGAAAAAGAAAATCCCATAAGAGAGTTGTACAAGCCATCTCTGCGTGCGCGGGAAAAAAAAGAAATCAAAAGCAGAACTTGGCCGGTCAAAGACAACCATGGGAAGGGTTCGTTGTCGGAATCGTAGCTTGCACTGAAATCATAAACAGGGTAACGGAAATGAGGCCGTCGTAGCGATAAAGTATAGCATCCCACCGAGTTTGAATCACGAAAGCCAAAGCTGTGGTTTGTTATCAACAGAAGTCCGGAAGGCCAGCTAGGGTTCACAAAGCGCTCCTCGTTTGCCGTCCAGGTAGTCCAGGTATGTGGTAAGGCAGTACAGACCATCGACCTGTTGGAGAGGTGGAATCCATCATCTTGCATGTCCGACCGAGGCTTTGGAGTCCACATGTAACTTCCAGGAGGTAAAGCAGGGCTTGATGTGATAGGGTATCCATAGATGCTTGCAACCTTGGAACATCACGGAAAAGCAGGAGCCTCTCTACCAGTAGGGGCGGCGATCATAACCACCGTAATCACCCCGAGGAGGAGTGCGAGGACGACCATACGGTCTCCCCGCCATGTAGGGGTCATCGTAGTGGCGAGGTGGTGGCGGCGGTGGTGGTGGACGGGTGTCATAAGGGTCATCATAGGGACGGCGTGGTGGAGGATAGTCATCAATGCGAGGGCGTGGCGGTGTGCGACGTCCATAACCATCACGATCATAATAATCACGACGAAGAGGGGGCGGAGAACGTTCGCGATAGTGAGAGCGGGGGCTGTAACCACGGGGGGGAGGTGGTGGTGGAGGGCCACGTCTGTCGTAGTCGTCCAGAGGAGGATATCCACGACGAGGGGGTGATCGGGAGCGATAAGGGTCTCGGTACGGAATGCGCTCCTCGGCAGGTTGTATCTGAGAAAGATGAGAAATGGTTTCTGCAAACACGAGAGAATTCTCTTACATCGGGAGTGCATGTCACTCTAGAACCTTTGAACTCGCGACCATCAAGCTTGTCGACCGCTACTTTGAGATCACTGGAAGACTCAAACTCGACGAAGCTGTTGACGATGTTAGTTGGGCCTAAAGGAGCCCTCACAGCAGGGCAACTCACCCTCTTCCATCACGCTCACGGCTAGTCTCAGAGTAGACTACGTCAACACCAGACTGACGTGCAAAATCTTTCAGATCCTGGGTAAAACAGATGCGTGAGTTGATGTAGATTCCCAATGCGAATGGATTCCAGATGATTCCCTTCAGGATATGAGAAGCAAAAGGAAACAATAAAAAATGCCCAAGGTCCAAGAGAAGAGTTGGATCCTCCAGAAAATGGCCTGAAAATCCTCCAAGAAGGTCTCTTGTTTCGACACAAGGCTCCCAAAAAATGATGCGCCAGAGGATGGTTTCTTTGGAGAAAGCTCAGAGCACATTGTTCATCAAACAGCCATGAACAAGGACAAAAAAAAGACCCAGGAAAAAGATATCAGTAGGGTATCTGATGACCAGTTTCTGAACCTGGAACCCTTGGACTGGAGAAGACGTGGGCCGCTGGGGTATCATAGCCAGAACAAAAATGGAAACGAAAAAGGAAATGGGACAATGTAGCAACGGAATGGACCAAACGGGAAATATCCAAGCAATCCTGGGAGGAATAGACACGGGCTGCTAACCTGCCAACTGGTCTCAGAAGGAAGACCGGAGACCTGCATGCGATATATTGTACGACGGGGTCGAGGAACACTACGGTCCGAGCCATGAAAGGTATCCTTGTGACGTGGGCCACGGGCAAACTGCACAGTGAGACGTTCACCCTTGAAGTCACTACCATCTGGAACAGGAAAGGTGGTTAAACAACAAAAGAAAAAACAGAACCCTGATCGCAGGCCGGTCGGTACGTACGGAAGGCTGGAGACCGATCGCATTAGCAGGCAAACGGAGATCATGGGCCAAACTTGCTGGCACAGGCCAGCAAAGGGAAAGAGAGGCTTACCTGGCACAACATCCCTTGCATCCATGGCATCTTCATACTCGATGAAGCCAAAGCCATTCATCAGCTTGATCTCCGTGATCTTACCCGAGCCATGGCTGCTAAAATGCTCTTCGATATCCTGTTTGGTGACTGGAAGGAGAATACAACGCCAAGTAGGGCGCCATTCACACGTCAGCTCTCCGTGGCTTAACGCACGACCCAGGAAAAGATGTGCGATTGCCAAAAGAAGTCCATGGTGGGTGGTAGATTATCTGTGTTATCATTTCTCTCCGGCCTTGGTCCCGCAAGCACGGACAGTCCAATCCTCTTATTTTCCTATCCGCACGAGGCACATGGGCTCCAAAGAGAGAAGGAAAGGAAAAGGAAACATCCGAGTTCTAAGGGGGAGGCGTTGACACAAGGGAGACCCCAACCAGGACAGCTGAACTCTCAGGGTGGAGTGGTGAAGGCCTGCGTACCATTTCGGGGAAGATTCCCAAGATAGAGCCGCGTGGAAGAGACCTCGCTCATGACTGGAAGGGTGCAGCTATGGTAACTCCTAGTGGATGGCAGAAATCAACGGGGAGGCGCTGGTCCAGGATCTGAGATGGCCAAAATGGCGGTGGGACAGGAGCTCAGAACGCGAACAGAGAACAGACGAGAGCCGGAGCGGTGACGTCCTCTCCTGTTTCTTTGGATCTCCTCACCTCCCCTCCGAATCGGGATCCAGGGCGTCCTCAAGGTAGGCAAGTTGTCGAAGATGGGCCTCTGCCGCTGGTGGTTTCGCTGAGAAGGTGAAGGAAGAAGCGCAGCCGAGTAAGAGAAGGAAACTCGGTGACGAGGAAAAGTGAGAGAAGCGGGCTGTGCAAGGTTTACATGGAGGGAGCGCTTCACTCGACTAGTTTGCTGCGATCCACGTGGCCCCGCTCAGGCGGCAGAATCAGAGCCCAATGTGTGACCAGACTCGACTAGCAAGCGCCGACGACCAGCTGAATGGCTGCTGAAGGAAAGATGCTCTCTGAGTCGTGGGCTGTCTGCGATCGACGTTCGGAATACGGACGCCCTGCTGTTTATGAGGATGGCATTTCAACATCCACAAGTTAGTCTGGATACTCCGTGCTAACTTCTGATTTTCCATGGTTCCGCAGCCCCTAACCCCGTGGGGAGAGCTGAAGAAGGGAGAATTATTGGTGGTCGCCACAGCAAGATGCCACAGCAGGCATCCAGGCCAGATGCCATTCTCGTTACTGGGGTCTTGACTTACCACTGCATACAAAGTCGTGGGAAAGAATTCTCCAGTGTATTTGTAGACGTCATATGTCTCCGCCCGGTAATCTATCTAGGTAATACAGAAGATACCTAACTGGCATTTGAAAGCCAGGAAAGAGAAAAAAGAGAATGAAAGAAAGCTGTTGGTCCTAATTCCGATCCTGGAGGCGCGAGTTTCACAAATGACTTCTATTTCCCTGAACAGCAATGTACATTCATACATACAAGATGCGCTTCAAATCCAGGCAGATTCACCAAGGAATCCGAGGTATAGACGAAACGACAGGGGAGGCACATGATATTTTACAGAGTACACCGAGTTATAGCCACGCTGTGCCATTAGGTCAAAACATACTTGGGGCCTTCTCCTCCCTGAGGAGTCTGCCAGTTGATATCCTGAGTAGGGACCTTAATATCACAAGTCTTGCAATGGATGCAACTGTGCCGTATTAGCAACCCGTGACTAAGCCAGATGAAACCCAAACGAAAGGGAACTTACTTCTGAGAGTTGATTTGGAAACGAACGCCATGCTCTTTGGAAGGGTCCTCGACGTACTCATAGACGCCGGCGGGACAAAACCGATTCTCAACACCCTGATATTGGGGCCACGCAGCCTTGGTATGCTCATCCCAGTCCTTCACCTGCAAATGGACAGGCTGGTCTTCTTCGTGATTCGTTCCAGTGCGACTCACACTGGTCATAATATCGAAGCTGATTACCCCGTCAGGTTTGGGATACTCAATCTTCTCACACTCAGAAGCCTTTTTCGTCGCGGCGGAATCGCTGCCGTGGTGCTTTAGTGTCCATGGCGTTTTGCCGCGGAAGATGTAGGCCTCCAGTCCTGAGTACAGGATACCACCGTAGATACCGAGAGGAGTGTTGAAGGAAGGGCGCATGTTGCGCACCTCCTTGAGTTCTTTCCAGATGAACGACTTACGGAGAGAATCCTCATAGTCGTATAGGAAGACACTGCCATTGTCATTGTTTTGCAAGGCCGAAAACGCCGCCTCGGCTGCCAGCATGCCGGACTTCATGGCAGTATGCGTACCTTTGATCTTTGGGACGTTCAAAAATCCGGCTGTGTCGCCAATCAAGGCACCACCAGGGAAATGCGACTTTGGGTATCGACTGAAAGCCACCCTCGTTGAGCGCTCGAGCACCATACGCGATGCATTTTCCGCCTTCGAGGACCTCTTTGAACATTGGGTGATGTTTCAGCTTCTGAAACTCACCATATGGAGAAAGCCACGGGTTGGGATAATCCAGACCGACGACCAGGCCGATACTGACCAAGTTGTCGCCAAAATGGTACATCCAAGCTCCGCCGTAGGTGTCCTTTGGCAAGGGGTAACCCATCGAGTGGACAATCTCGCCGGGTCTGAATTTCTCGGGCTGTACCTCCCAAACCTCCTTTATCCCCAGTCCATAGGTTTGCGGTTGACTGTCACGGCGGAGATCATATTTCTTGATGACCTGTTTGCTCAAGCTCCCATGACACCCCTCAGCGAGCAACGTGACACGCGCGTGAAATTCCATCCCCCGCTCAAAATTTTCCTTCGGTTTACCGTCTCGCCCTATACCCAGATCGTTTGTTGCGACACCGCGCACCGAACCATCCGGCTTGTACAACACCTCACTGGCGGCAAAACCAGGATAGATCTCCACCCCCAACTCCTCGGCGCGTTCCCCAAGCCACCTGGTCAATTGACTCAAGCTTATAATGTAATTTCCATGATTATTCATCTGCGGCGGGGCGGGAATTGGTATAGCCGAATTCTTCGTCAGAAAGCGCATCTTGTCGCTCTTCGCGGGAGTCACATGTTCGAATCGCGATGGATTGTCCTCGGACAGCCAGTCAGGCAGGAGCTCGTTGAGAGCAGTTGGCTCGAGAACATTGCCGGAAACGATGTGTCCTCCCAATTCTCCTGCTTTCTCTAGGAGGACGACCCTGAACTCTTCGTTGCCGGCTTCGTTGGCCAGCTGCTTTAGCCGAATTGCCGCTGCGAGACCTGCCGGGCCTATTGATTCGGAGAATTGCGATTAGCGAGGAAGTTGCAGCGGGACTCAAGAGTGTGCTTACCGCCACCGACAATACAAACATCAACTTCATCTGACTCCCTCTCAATCTGGCTGGGGTCGAGAGCGGCCTCCGCATCACGCCTTCGCAGGGACTGAGAAAATGGTCTAGTTTGACCCCGAACAACACGCCCGCTCGGAAAACCAGTACGACGGCATGGTCGCCTCTCAGGGGCGAAGAAAGAAGCGTGGCGGACGGTCCTTGTAGCTGCAGACAATGAGCTAGCTCGCCACGATCGAGAAGCTCTCAGCTCACACCTCAACAGAGGCAAGACGGCTCCTTTCGAAGCCATTGCACGGTTGAGATCCAGGAAACACCCCTTCAGCCGTGATGCACAGAAGATGTTCCCTTCAGGCTTCTGTATGGTTGCAAGAGAAAGAACACAGTCGTTCAGGGTAAGGTTTTCTGGAAGATATTATTTCGCAGTCCCAACCCCCACTCTCCGCCCTCGGTTCGGAGCCCCAGACCGCAGAGGGCAGAGTGCCACCGGGAATGGCGGTTAGCCGCGGTAGGGCTGCCGGCCACCACAGTCCCGCTGTTTCCCCGAGGTCCTGCTGGACATATCCCAGGAGAGGGATTGATAATGACACCACTTTAATTGCTAAGAGCGCCACTGGCTAATGTGCTTCGGGTAAGGCCCGAGGTCGGGTTTACCCCGACATACTGACTAAATAGTCTGATCGCAAATTTCTGGTGTTCGAACCCATACGGACACCCCAGTAATAAATACTGACTTGGATTGCCAACAACCAACATTATAATCCAAATGGTTGGGTTTTCCTATGATTGGATAGTCAACCTGACGATCACATGGGCAGTACTAAATTTCACCGCCAATTTGGCCTAACATTTTGCTTATTTACTAGGGAATTCTGGTATCAGATTTGCCCTGATTAATATAAGATTTCTTGACTATACGGTGTTAGTACTAGGACTTAATATAATATTAGTTTCACTTTGGCCCTTTATTCTAATGCTTCAAGATGGGTAACTTTATCTTGCTGTCAGCTGATGATTCTATGTCTTTAAATTTGTGCTTGTCCATGGTAACATTGCAGTCTGTAATCTCCTTTTGTTTTCGATTTTCCTATGTGATATGTATTGGCAGCTCTTGAAAGTGTTAGCTTTTTAGTTTTTACTACAGGTACCTCGATCAGTAAACTGCTCTAGACTCGATACCAGTTGGATCGCATTGGAAAGGTAAGGGAACACCGACAATTCTAATGTACCTATGGATATCAGGATCGCAATGAATTCCAAGATCTGGTAGGAAAATGCAATATTACGCTCCCAGAGTCCCAATGCTATCCTGTGTGAGGAATGTAATTACGAGATACACAGCTACTGGTAGGCACGCCAAGCAGTCAACTATGAGACCTCCGGCATCCAGACGGCATTCCCAAACGCAGACCAGGACCAAAGGCGACCACAGTTGCTAAATACCATAATGCTGCAAAAGCATCCTACTATGACGACAGTCATACGATTTTCGCTCTCAAGACGACTGAGAAGCGGAGTGTGTTTGTGTTTGAGCCTGGCAGCGAGTTGAGACGCGTCTGAGACGCGTGGTGCGGCGGAGGTGCGAAGTCGGAACACCGATGCCGTCCGTGGATTCAGCCTCAATCGCACCTCCCCGAGAACCTTCCAGTGCCATCCAGAGCGATCGTTGATTCTGACTGCTGCCGGCGGCAACAGTTGCATCAATAGATCAATATCATTCACCTGACATATTCTGAGCTATCACAAGCATATGAGACACGTAGATACCAATGTCAGAGGGGTTGTATGGAGGAGGAAGGCGTGCTGTTTGCAGGGCGACCGGGCTGATCCGGCTGTTTGGGAAGAGTGAAGGGACACAAGTGTGGACAGCGAAGGATTTTTTGTTCAGTTGCCATCTGCTAAAGCGGCAAGCAGTTGGTGTGGGTCTGCAAAGATTGTCCGAAAGCAGTGACTATGATTGGGCTGGGAGCGGGCAGGCAACAGTGAAGTGTGGAAGCGAGTCTGGCCGAAGCAGCCTATCGCATGCGCAGAAGCCAGAAGGCGGTCCGGCCACTGTAACGAAGGTGACCAGTCAGACGCCGTCAGTGGCAGCGTATCAGTTCGGAGACACGCAAGGAGGCGCAGCGATACGCCAAGGCAGCGGATCCCTGGGTCGCCAGCTGCCGGAGGAGTCGCGGCTAGCGAACGAGAACGGCAGAAATGGCGTTTGCTGACCAGCCCACGCCGTAAACCACTAACGGCCGCCAAGCGCCCCGCTAGTCTGCCGCTAGCAGCGAGAGGCGCCATGGGAGCGGTCGGCCAGCGCAACAAGACCCGTCGCTGCTTTTGTTGCCACCGCGGCCCAGCCTCCCCTGACGACAGCACCCCCCGAGTCGTGACTCACCCTATATAAGGAACCAACCTCCCACTTCGGCCCTTCTTTTGATCTCTTGCTCCTGGTCTTGGCACCGCGCGGAAACGCCAGAACGTCACCTTCTTCCCTCCGCCATCCTTCCCCATTCTTACTCCCCCACCCTCTCTCTCTCGGAGTCCCTCCACACTCCGCCTCAGGCTTTCAGAGAGTCGCCGCAGCCCTCTGTGCCATTAATATTCGGGAAGAAGGATACTAGACGCTCGACGGAAGCCTTTACTGCCGGACGGCCGCTACGATACTTGCCTCGCGCGAGCCACCTTCCCTTCTTTGAGACGCAGATAGACATCAAAATTTGAAACGTGACAAAAAAAGAAAAAAATATTACCTTAAGTCTTGCACTCTCAGCACTGCCATTCTGTGTTGCCATCAGACAGTTAATACTAAAACAAAAATTCCCTTCTACCTACACGGTTAATTCCGGCAGTGCGTGGTGATTGCTTCCCGTCACCTGACCTGGTGGTTTGTCACTTCCCTCTGTTTTGCCACCACGGGATTCACACCTTGCGGTCGCATCGAGGCTATATCTAGCACCGTCCTGACCGGGTTTTTCCCACTTCCAACTCGCTTCAGATTCTCTGAACTTAGACCTGCGTCACCAACCAGGCAGCGAGTGTAGGGGAGGCATTCAGTTGTTTATCTCCCACATACGGTAGGCACTTCTTTTTTATCTTATCTTCATCCGTCTACCTGCCATTCGCTTCTTTTCCTGCCTGGTTGCCCTGGTTGCACTGGGTCCACAGGAAGTCGCTGTGTCTGCTGTCGCATCGTGGTGCTTACAGGCTAGTCGATGCCCTCAGACCTCTGGCTTCCCCTTACACTAAAAGTGGAAAGGTCCTCGGTCTAACCTCTGTTTCGCCGCAGACTGCCGTCATCCAGATTTCTCTGAAGCGACATTGTATCTCGAAGACAGTCTCAGCTCCACTACGGCTGCGTGTATGTCGCACGTCACAATGGAATCGCTCACAACCCACCCTTCGACCGCACAGCAGGCGAAGGCGTTCACTTCCCCGGCGTCGCTCTCGTTTCCGGGAGGCGCTGGGGATCTGACCCCGCCTTCCTCTGAAAAAGAGGGAAACGGTCAAGGCGTGAACGGCCAGCAGCAGGGAGGGAATGCCGGTGCTGTAGGCAACGGGGTGACGCCCGCAACTCCAGCTGCGACTCCTGGTGCCAACACTCCGGGGAGCGGCATTGTGCCTACGTTGCAGTGAGTATACACTTGGCTGTTTTTTTTCTGGTCTACCAGAAAGCTGAACAGACTGTTTTCAAGAAACATTGTCGCAACCGTCAACCTGGACTGTCGCCTGGATCTGAAGACCATTGCTCTCCACGCCAGAAACGCGGAGTATAATCCAAAGGTACTAATCTCCGTGTTCTCCTTGGATCTTCAGCCAGACACAGTGTGACTGAACTTGGGTTCATCTAGCGTTTTGCTGCCGTGATCATGCGTATCCGGGAGCCTAAGACTACGGCGCTGATCTTCGCATCCGGCAAGATGGTCGTTACCGGTGCCAAGTCTGAGGATGACTCCAAGCTGGCGTCGAGAAAGTACGCTCGGATCATCCAGAAGCTCGGCTTCAACGCCAAGTTCACGGACTTCAAGATCCAGAACATCGTGGGCTCTTGTGATATCAAGTTCCCCATCCGTCTGGAGGGTCTCGCCAGCCGTCACCACAACTTCAGTTCTTACGAGCCGGAGTTGTTCCCTGGTCTCATCTACCGCATGATGAAGCCCAAGATTGTCCTCTTGATCTTCGTCAGTGGCAAGATAGTCCTCACTGGTGCCAAAGTCCGTGAAGAGATCTACCAGGCGTTCGAGTTGATATACCCCGTGCTCTCTGGTAAGGTGACCCAGTATACTGGGTTGTTCGAGGGCAAGATGGCTAACATTGCGTTCAAGATTTCCGCAAGGTCTAAACATCACAGGTCTAACGTGGAGGTCCACCACCTGTGGTGACATTCACATTTACTTCTTTCCACGCCCTTGTATTAACACTGCTGTCTGTTTCGGGATTCGACGTGATCAGCCCGGCGTTGCTTGATTCGAAGCTGGCCAGATATGGCAGTTCATCTCAGATCGCCACTCCACTTCGGACCCGTTGTTATGATTGGTTCATGTTTGCATTTACACGGCGTTCTAGCGATTCGGTTACCCGGTTGTCTTTTATTCTGCTGTTCTCTAAAAAGATTATTAAACTAGAAAGTCGCACATTCCCGCAGACTTGTTAGGGGCGGTACATGTGCGCTGGTCGAATGGGTGCCTCCCTTTTAATCATTTGCTTGCCACAGCCCTGTTGCCTGCTCATGACCCGATCCTCCCTCCGCCGCGTCGCATGACTGGGGTGACAGGGGCTTTGCTTTTCAGTTTGATTCATTAACGAATTCTAGGATGCTGTGATTCTGGTGAGTGCTGTGGGCACACTGGATTCAGCTATCATTTGCTGTTGATGGCGGATGGGATCTCATAAAGAGAAATTGGAGCATGAATGTTACGCGGCGGTACTACTTGCTATACTTTAGGCGTTAGGAAGGGGCTTAATGAAAGTATCGGTAGTGCCATACCACTTTTGTCTTCATAAACGTAGAGCTATGTATGATGATGCACCTAGTAACTACTCTTAGTTGTTCAAGTGACCAGCTTGGACTATCGTGGATAGTTGCTGGTTCAATTTCCCTCGTTCAGGAAGATTGGCCTGGTCAGATAACCTATCATGCATCACCAGATCTATATATATCTACACACATTGTATGATTGCAACTTATAGTTTCTGTCCCTCCCGTGGCCTTGTTCTGGCCAGCTCTTCCGCCAGTATCATTCCTCTCCGTCCCGACCGGCTGCCGTCGTTCGTTTCGACAGTGTTGGAACTCGGCCGCTCGCGAGGCCACGCCCACAGCTGCTGCAGTTCGGGTTCCAGGTTGCCCTCGAGCGCGTCGACGATCTTGTCGCCTAGAACGGGGAAGAACTTGTACGCGTGGCCGCTGCCGCCTGTGGCCAGGAAGAGGTTCGGATGGTCCGGGTGGTAGGTGATGAGGAAGTCTCCCTTGGGCCTGTTTTCGTCAGTAAAGGAAGATACTTTTTTTTTTCAGAGCTTATAATTGCATAATTCAATTCTGGCTTCAGGATTGATTATTAAACTTACGTATCTGTGTACCAGCAAACCCGAGTGCGGAAGAACGGCCGGTCTGCCAACGCTGGGAGCATTTCCCTGAGAGCGTTGCGGCAAGCCTCTTCGCCCTCCAGCGGTATGGGAACGTCATTTTCGGGGACGCTGATCTCCATTGTACTCGGCTCGCCGTCTTGCACCACTCCGGGGACGTTCACGATCTTGGGATTCCGATATCCGTAAGCGTGCCGAGCGATCTTGAGCTCGTTGTTCCGCGGCGGGATGATGAACATGCCCGTCGCGAAATTCAGAATCGTGGGCATGTGCGCCAGCTGCTGCTGCTCCTCGTCCGTGAGTTTCACGTAGGCCATCACCTGGCCGGTGGCTTCGGCTCTGCCGCGAAGGTCGACCAGCTTGGGAGTCCATGCACCGGTTGCCAGGATGACGAGATCCGCAGCGATGGTTGTCCCGTCCGTCAGGGCAACGCCCGTTACTTTGCGCTGACCCTGCTGCGACTCTTCGTCTGCAAAGAGAAGCCTCTCGACTTCGCCGGTCTTGAAGGTCACCTTCCCCATCTGCTCGAGCTTGGCCCGCGCGAAACGAACGCCAGCCTCGGCATTGGCCCATCCAGAACCCCAGTTGACATATCCTCCAGCGATATTGCTCCCTGCTGCATAGCGTGGCACGACCTTTTCCACCGCCGCCTTGGTCGGCAACTCCTGCACTCTGTCCCCTTCGATGCTTTTCACGTTCTTGTAGCTTGCCAGCGTATACTGCTTTGCGACACTGTTCCCGCCGGTGTACACCATAACGAGGCCGTTCTCTGTATACCGGCCCTCCTTACCCCAGTCGGTCATGCGCCAGCGCCGGATGCCTTCAGCGGCCAGTCTGGCGTACGCGGGGTTTGCATAATCGGCGCGCACGATGCGGGAAGCGTCGACGGAGGAGCCATGCGGGTTGGGTATTGTTGCAGCCGCCTCGATGAGCGTGATCTGGCTGTTTGGGTGGCGGGTTGACAGGGAGAGTGCGGTAGACACTGTGAAGCCGGTTGTCAATGCAGTGTTCGTATAGCAAAATATCATACATTTAACACTGATAGGTACAGCACAAGAGAGGGCATTGCTCAAGCATTGAGTGTACCGAAAGCTACTGACATCCAAAGACCCCGCCTCCGACGATCAAGATAGAGTGAGGCAGCGCCATCTCTCAAACTCCCTTATCTTATCGCAGGAAACGTAGTTTTATCGATCGACAAAGAGTCTTTGTTGTGGACGCCTTTCGAAGCCGAATGTCCGAGAGAAGCAGGATTCCATAGCTAGGCAATGGATATATATTCCTTGTGGCTGACTCTTGACTTGTCAAAAGGCGTGGTGGACGTGGGTCTTATCATGCGGATGGCCTCGGCGTTGGTAGTTTTTAACTTAGCCGCGCCAGGAACATCGCCGAGCCGTCGGCCTTCCTCGGACAGACTGACACCTTTTTTGATAGCTAACTACGGTAGGTAATCTGTACGCGACTAAGAGCTCGTCAATTACCAGCGTTGATGAGCCTTGTCGACTGCGATCCTTTTAGCTGGTCTTAGGATTTTAATTGACTGGTCTTAGAAGTGAATGGTCGCGTTCTTCGCCGGTTTTGTCCTGTCATTTAAATTCATTCCAGCAGCTATGACCAGGGTTAAATAAACTGGTTTCTTCCATATACATGACAATTTACACTTTCTCCCAATTGAAGCGTGAAATTTTTTTTTCCTTCTGGATCATTTCCTGCAGACGAGCGTGGTCGAGCGTGGGATATCACACGAACTTCATCTGTCTTTGCGACTGCCAAAGTCAATCATACCTATTGGCTGAGACGATCCTCGATGCTGAATATGACCTCCTCACCGGCTACAAGTAAGCCAGCAGGGAAAGTCAGTGCCTCACGGAGCCATGGCTCTGGACAAATGGGGAAGAAGACTTCCCTACCGCTAAGTCCTAGGTTAGTTTCAATCAGACACCTTGTTTTGATAAACAGATACGTCTAGAATTTTTTTTATCTAAAATTCTTGGATGGCATTCCTCGGTCTTTCGTTTTCTTTTTTAAAAAAAAATTCTGCCCAATTTGTCTATGCTAACAACTCTAGACCGGGAATGCCCTCTCCTACTTCCCTGCCTAAACGGGCCAACCCTCTTCTCAGCACACCTATCAAACCGGCCGTCAAAAACACAGTCTCTCCACGTGCGATGACTGTATTCGGCGTCGGGGTTCTGACGATAAGCACTTACTGCGGATATCTGTACACGTCCTACCGGCGAGACGTCGTCGAGTCGCGCTCGCTCAACGTTCCCGAGGACGTATCAGACCGCTACAACGAGACCGCGCGCAACTACGATGCCGAGGTCGAGCTGGGAGAGCGGCTGATGCGGCTGGGGAAGAGGCGGAAAGAACTGGTGCGCATGGCTCGCGGAGACGTGCTGGAAGTGAGCTGTGGCACCGGCCGGAATATGCAGTACTATCAGCTCGGAGAGCGGCGAGGCGTGGACGAGAAAGGGAAGGCCCAGATCCAGGGCTGTCGTTCGGTGACGTTTGTCGATCTCAGTCCGCAGATGGTCGAGATTGCTCAGAAGAAATTCGAAAGGCTGTACCCTGACTTCCCGAAGGCTGCCTTTCGGGTACAGAACGCGAAGGAGGTCGTCCCTCCATCTTCACCGTCTACAGCCGTGATAAAGTCGTCGTCCACCACTCCCGAGACTCAGTCTCAGACTCAGTCTCAGTCTCAGTCTTGGACGACATCCAAGCCGTACTTTGACACGGTCCTGCAGACCATGGGCCTGTGTTCGACGCCGGATCCCGTCGGCCTGCTACGCCACCTTGGGTCGATCACGGAGCCTCAGCACGGCCGAATCCTCCTCCTGGAGCACGGACGCTCTTATTACGGCTGGCTGAACAGGATCCTGGACAACCTGGCCGCGGCGCATGCCAACCGCCACGGATGCTGGTGGAACCGCGATATCGGGCAGATCGTGGAGCAGAGCGGGCTCGAGGTTGTGGAGATGAAGAGGTATCATTTGGGGACGACGTGGAGGGTGATTCTGCGACCTAAGCGGGAGTCAGGGTCCAAAGACGAAGTTCAGGCAGCTCGATGAGGTTCAGTCTCGACGATTTGTCTATATATACAGTGTATAATAAGAGTCTCAATATTGTCTCGTTGTCTCATTAATCTCTAGACGTATCCTGTACCATCGTGATGTATTTATATAAAGCCGGGTGATCACTTGATTTAAATGTTTTTTTAGTTGTTCTGCTCTACATCTACCAACTATCGTATATAGAGGTGTATATCAGTAGTTGACCAGGTATTTTATATATATTGAGTATCAGTGCCATTCCAATTTGATGATATTAAGGCTATTGTAGGAGAAGAGCAAGCCTGGTCTACACAGTGTATATGCGGAGTACCTAGCAGATCGCAGCCAACCAGGTAGCCAGGGCTCCATTGTCAATAATAGCTACTCCGCATGTCTCAGTTTAATATTCAGCACTGTAAAGCCATCTACGTGGGTAGGAAAAATACCATTCTTAGGTAATTAACTGCCGTAAGAACATTCCGTCGATTAGCTAATAATATTATACTATATTTAATAATAGTATTATTATTCTTAGGTATTGTTATTATTAACAATAATTAAATTAAATTCTAGCCATTCTTGTCCGTAAGTCATGACGTCTTTGATGTTCCGGATCGGGTATATTCGCTGGGCGTTGGAACCTTGGGATTATATATTACGACTAACCTTAATACTGATGATTGATGACAGTAAGCTACCTCTACCTGCCTACCTCAGGTACTTAATACTGCGAATAATGCAATTGTCGTAGTTTGTCAACAGGTAGGTATCTAAGCTAACATGTCCATGTTACGTTGGAAATCATTAATTCTGCTAGGCAGTACTCCGTAGTAGTGAATAAGCAATTATGTTGTTGATGGGAGTATGGAGTACTCCGTACCGTAAGAAATAATATTTAGAGCGGGGCACGGGATCGCGCGTCGCCACCAGTAATTAAACAAATAAATAATCAATCCTGTTAAATATTGAACAATATCCTGTAGTGAAAGCAGATTTAGCTGAACCTCGATCAATCAATCGATAGCTTGAACAATGACGATGAATATTAATATATTAATAGAGGCGAAGGTAAGTCTGTTGAATCGGCTGATCATCCGTCATGATTGTTGTTGTTATTCGGTTGCCTGCCGAGATCTACACAGCAGTGTGCTAACTAGCTAGTCTTCCTCCCCAATGGAATTGAAAGAATGGGGTGAACTGGCAGATCATTCTTTACTACTCTAGTCTCAACCTCTCAGGTTACTATCTAAAAGGAGTATGTACTCCGTACTCCGTACTGAATAATTAACGGTGATGATGATGATGAAAATCTGGCCCCCAGGCGTTTGTTTAGTGTTGATGTCATTGTTGTTGTCATGGCCGACCGCCTTTTCAACAAGTTCCGTTTAGGTCGTTTACTAAAAGTAAAGCCTGTCGTCAAGCTCCCCCCGCATGCTAGGACTAGTTAGTTAAGTACTAGTGACGATGTGGCGGTGAGATAGATACACCGTATCGGGGATCGGCGCGATCAATGCTTTGCAGAGCTTTTCACAGTAGATATTTACTCCGTACTAGTTACACGGATGACTCTGTAGACTGACGGAGATACTCCGGACGGGAACGGAAAGCTGCCTGCCTGCGTGGTCGATATCAGGTCGGAGAATTTGAGGATTGCCTATTGGCTGCCATCATTGTCACAGTAACTCCAAAAGAATTACCTAGGTACCTGCAAGAATCGATAATCAGACGTCAACAGCAACGACGAGCCAATCGGCGGACCGAGGTGATAAGAGCTTCCGCCCTGGTGACCGCATCGGCATTCTGCCAGCCATGATGTTGATTCTCATTCAAGGTCAAGATTGAGAATGAAGACGACTGAATCAAAGTTTAGTTTGTGACGATGAGTAGGCATCTACAGCGCGATATCCCTGAATGGAGGATCCAGTCCTCCACTCTGCGAGTAACACTATCTCTTCGCTGCCATCATCGTCACCACCTTGCGATGCGCATGATACGCGCTGGACAAGGTTCAACGGCGACACACCAGCACTTCCACACTCTGCCTAGCGCGCAAGCCACGCTGCTGGAGCCTGGGCCAGCTGCAGCTTCTGGCCTGCTGCTAGAATGCCATTCCACGCGACAGTGGGCCGCATCCACCGTCGTGATCCGTGATGCGGCTCGGCCAGTGGCAAGGGGAGCTGCTAGTGCGGTGTCGCAGCGGATCAGTGGCGCGTTGGTGGATCCTTGGCTGGTAGTCTGGCCGACCAGGATCGGATTCCCCCATCCCTTGGGCCCGGCTGCACTCCAGAATGCGAGGCAGACGCTCTGTTTGGCCATCCTCTGCAGCCTGGCTCGCGCGGATTGCCGCGTCGGCCGGGCGGTGGTTTCGCCTCCCTGCGCAGCCTGCGCGCCTTTGGATGTCGTTTGTCCAGAGGGAGAACAGTCGTCAAACACTCGTCTCACCTTGTACGGAGTAGACAGGCAGAAACAAAGGGTTGATCGTCGCTGGTGGCCAGCAGTCGTTTATTTGCAACTGCCCAGCCAGCTGCCTCCCTTGTCCAGCGTTTGCACCATTATCATCACCTCCATGTGCTCCGTCCAGACGTGACTCGTCCAAAACTCAGATCCTTTGTATGTCCTTGCCCGTATCTCCTGTTGGCTCACTCCAGGGAGGACCGAATCTTCATCTTACACCCCTCGTCATAGACGCATCGCCCATTCTGGGTGCGCTTCCCCGCCCCTTTTCTGCCAACTTCCATATCTATCTGCGGTGGTTCCTGCTTCTGTCGCTTCTATCTGCGATTCTCTGCGCGTTTTTCCATTATTTCCTGCAGCCTCTGTTGCAGGATATCGCTTGCTTTTGTCGGCTGCCCCTGCGTCGCCTAGCGGTGTGACGGGCCCGACGCTGGCCCCAACGCTGGCGGGGACACCAAACTAGACGCCCGCTGGTTGGAGCTCCCACAACAACCTAGGTCGATTCTTGATTTTTTTTTCTCCCTTCTTTTTTTTTTCCCTGCTCCCCTTTCGCAGCCTACCCACCGCATTCCTGAATTTC